GATACCTTCGGAACAAATCGGGGATAATTGAAGGAAGGCATACCCCCAAAGACGCCAAGCAGCACGTGATTAAATACCTAATAATGACTACACGCTGGGATACATTTGTTGAAGAAATCGTTGGATGTTTGCCTTTTAATCAATACGGGTAACAAACTAGTATCGTCTAAAGTAAGAGTAGCTTTACGGAAAATAGTCTCGGTTTAAGGGTTGCTTAAACGAGGATGTTTAATTCATCCCATGAAATTTTCTCATTAATTTGATCATGTCGAGTTGTTGAACAGAGGAAATAAATACATGGATATCCATCTTTACACTATATCCTTCTGCGTAAAATGTTTCTTTTATGGACCTTCCATCTATGATAAAGTTAATGTACGCTGACCAAACTACACAGGAGCCGACAATATTCTCCTTTGTGATGAAACGGGGTTTAACGTCGCGTCTGAGATTATTGCACTTAAAAGTGACATACATGCACGTGTGTGTGTGTGTGTGGCTGCTTGTACTAGTCAAGACTGATGCCGATTTATAGTGCTAGCTCACTGAGATACCATGCCTCAGTTTAACATGAATACCCCACTCAGACACAGTACACTGACTCCGAGCCGACCAGTCCTTGTTTTAGTCCCTTAATGCCGAGCGCCAGACAGGGTAACAACAAGTACCATATTTTAACGTATTTTGGTATGACGCGGCCGGGGATCGAACCCCAGACCTTCCGCACTCCGGGCGGACGCTCTACCACTAGACCACGGAGGCGGCCCAAACAGAGTGAGTGAGGCACTTGGGTTTCAGTGAGCCTGTTGCCTCATGGCGTGTCAGCTATATTTGACAGGAATACCACGTATGCCACCATATGTTTACGCTACTTGCATTTCCATCGTGCTAATTAACCAAGAACAATCCGTCGAAATCTGAGATTCGAACCCACGACCGTATGATTATGACATGTCTAGGGCAAGTACCTCCACATAGAAATATGCGGCGATCAGACAAAAGGGACATCTGTGTCCTTTTTCAATCTGAAATAAGTATTGTAAATGTTGGGTTTGGAAACAAGCTCTGATAAGGAAATATTTGTAAATGGTGTCCTTAATATCGTTTAGATCCAGGACATGGAAGATGAATATCGAAGATCATGTCTTATTGCTGATCGGCATGCATTGCTGGGCACGTGTAGAACGCCAACAGAAAGATACAAGCACGTCTCAGGTACCGAGTTACATCGTGTGCCTCAATACTCTGTCTGCACTCTCAAGAAGGATGTTGACAGGTGTGCTTGGTGCATGAATGGGACATGGAAACATGCATCATGTGAAGAAGGTAAATTATAAATATCTACAATAAAATAAATAAGAAAAGTCTTTTTTCATAGTTGCACATTCGTCAGGAAAAATTCGTCTTCTCCTCACATCCGCAACTTTATTCACACTCATGGTTTACATGGTAGGCCACACATACATTCCCACACAACGATGAAGATAGGTAATTAGTACTCCACAATACTCTAACACCGGACACCTTTTGGTGCTTTAAGTGCTTAACATTGTTACTTCTGACAGGAAGAAGAAGGAAGAAAAGATCCTTCTGGTTCCTGGAGGATTCCGTCAGCGAATGTTCCTTGTTCTGTCAGAAAGGACAAGAGGGCCTAATAGGTAAGTTGCGCTTTCCCTTTTCCGAATGCAAAGTTGACGCGTTGAACTTCATCCTGCATTGCCTCATTGCTTCATTGCCTCATTGCTTCGCTGGACTCTACTTTCAGCAGAGATTTATTATGGAGATGTTTACCTTTTTAACGAACACACGGTGTCACCACTGATGTGTTTGGAATCTGTTTCGGCAGTTAATCGAGACTGGGTATTCTCTGGCGTTAAAGTTTTATATGTTATGATTATGGAATGGGTTTTGTCACTTTAAGTTTTTGTTATCAGAATCAATCATTATGATATTATCATTATTTTCTCAAAATCATTAAGGAAGAAAATGTATTATTTGACAATAAAGATATGGTGTGGTGGAGAAGCATTGTCGATGGCCATTGAATTGTTAATACTTTCATTTTCCTTAAAACGAAACCTGATCCTAAGGTTATCTTTGATCGGCCTTCAGAAGAAGAACACCCCTCTTTCAGGGCGTGACGCTCTGTCTCCTGTTACGAGGTATAGGTTTTGAAAATGAACTTGTTATGATAAGACACTGATGACACGTGATGCATGTGCTGTAGACATGTATAAGTATAAACCCGTCAGGGATTTTTTGGCGTCAAGCAATAACAATAACATTTAGGTAACAAAACTACCCATAGTGTATCTGGTCCTCGCTGAACTTTGGTGGCTAGTGGTGTAATTTGTTCCAATAACTTAACACAAGTTTCTGTTTTGGTAGATCATAAAGTGGATAAGTATATTTGCTAGTTCACGAATGCATTATCTGTCATTTTGCTACTAAAGGGAATATTTCTCCGACATTTTCAAAATGCTCATCACCAAAGACACCTATGTATGCAAATGAGGGTCGGAAAACAGCTAGTGTCAAGTGGACCACACCTGCAGCACATGATGGTCAAGGAAAGAATGTCAGGTCAGTATTTCTAAGCCAATGTTTGTCGTACAGGGTACCAAATGGATAGGGTGGTCATGCTCAGCGAAGGGGTCGTTTGCATGTCATCGTTCCGACAGTTTTGGTCGTTGCTCACATTGTCAATCACTGGATTATCTGGTCCAGGTCGCCGTTATATAGCTAGATATCACTGAGTGTTGTTAGACAACGAACTGCATTCTCGGTACACGTTATGAAAGAATGAAAGATGAAACAACAAATTTTTGCTCTCTGAAACGCCAAATTAGTTTTCATATGGCATCGAACATTAGGTTCATCATAAGATCACAAATTTCAACAGTTATTTTAAATAAACCTGAAAAATTAATTATGAATACAATATCTACGATGTGTCTTTAGTTGTAAGGTTTTCTGTTTAGATGTGTTTTGGTGTGTATGGACGGCACAACTATGTTGCAGCTTTAGATGACGCATTGTCATGCCAGTGTTGTGATGTTTTCTGTTTACATGCCGTGTAGTATAGTTTAGATGTGTTTTGGTGTGTATGGACGGCACAACTATGTTGCAGCTTTAGATGACTCATTGTCATGCCAGTGTTGTGATGTTTTCTGTTTACATGCTGTGTAGTATAGTTTAGATGTGTTTTGGTGTGTATGGACATGAGTGTGTATGACTCATTGTCATGCCAGTGTTGTAATGTTTTCTGTTTACATGCTGTGTAGTATAGTTTAGATGTGTTTTGGTGTGTATGGACATGAGTGTGTATGACTCATTGTCATGCCAGTGTTGTAATGTTTTCTGTTTACATGCTGTGTAGTATAGTTTAGATGTGTTTTGGTGTGTATGGACATGAGTGTGTATGACTCATTGTCATGCCAGTGTTGTAATGTTTTCTGTTTACATGCCGTGTAGTATAGTTTAGATGTGTTTTGGTGTGTATGGACGGCACAACTATGTTGCAGCTTTAGATGACGCATTGTCATGCCAGTGTTGTAATGTTTTCTATTTACATGCCGTGTAGTATAGTTTAGATGTGTTTTGGTGTGTATGGACATGAGTGTGTATGACTCATTGTCATGCCAGTGTTGTAATGTTTTCTATTTACATGCCGTGTAGTATAGTTTAGATGTGTTTTGGTGTGTATGGACATGAGTGTGTATGATTCATTGTCATGCCAGTGTTGTGATGTTTTCTATTTACATGCCGTGCAGTGTGGTCGCTGTGTCTGGACATGGGATGTATTTGATATCGGACTCACAACATTTGTATACAGAGCAACAGATGACAGCGGCTTGTCAAGCTTCTGTTACATCACATTCGAGGTAAAAGGTATGTGGATAAAACAGACATTTCATCGATATGAAGGAACTATGCCAATTGCTGCCAACTAAAGGTATTGTCAGAATAGATCTCCATCAACCTGAGCTTCTACGTGCTGACAACTAAAGGTATTGTCAGAATAGGTCCCCATCAACCTGAGTTTCTCAGTGGAAGCGATAAAATGCCTCGGGTGTTCTGGTCTGGATGACATGATGCCCATCGTACCCGACGGCAGATGATATTTAACAACAGAATGTCTGGTCTAGCAAGAATCCGCATTTACAGTCGGCAGTTGTTTAACTGGGGTATTGTTGTGTGCTATGTTCAACAACAATCAACCATTTCAGAAAGAAGGAACCTAAGCCGTTTCCTTGTCCACTGTAAACTGTTTCCTCGTCCCCTGTTGACTGTTTTCTTGTCGGCTGTTGACTGTTTTCTTGTCGGCTGTTGACTGTTTCCTTGTCCACTGTAGACTGTTTCCTTGTCCCCTGTTGACTGTTTCCTTGTCCGCTGCAGACTGTTTTCTTGTCCGCTGTTGACTGTTACCTTGTCCCCTGTTGACTGTTTCCTTGTCCGCTGCAGACTGTTTTCTTGTCCGCTGTTGACTGTTACCTTGTCCCCTGTTGACTGTTTCCTTGTCCGCTGCAGACTGTTTTCTTGTCCGCTGTTGACTGTTACCTTTTGTCCCCTGTTGACTGTTTCCTTGTCCAGTGTCGACTATTTCCTTGTCCAGTGTCGACTATTTCCTTGTCCACTGTTGACTGTTTTTTTATCCACTGTTGACTGTTTCTTTATCCACTGTAGACTGTTTCTTTGTCCCCTGTTGACTGTTTCTTTATCCACTGTAGACTGTTTCCGTGACCACTGTAGGCCGTTTCCTTGTCCAGTGTGGAATGTTTCTTTGTCCAATGTAGGCTGCTACCATATGCAGTGTGGGAGGGGTCCTTGTACACTGTCCTTGTCCATTGTGGTAAGTGATATCCGACAGAGAAGAATCTAATCAATGTCGCTGGAATGTATTATTTTTTCTATCTTTTCTAGTTCACACATGTTCTGTGCCAGTAGTTGCCCATGCTGACCGTGTCTGTAACAGCACCGACTTCATCTTTGGAACAACGTGTCAGTTCACCTGCAACAGCGGGTACGACATCAACGGAGCGAGTCAGCTGAAGTGTGAAGAAGGAGGAGCATGGTGCCATCAGGCTCCTAGATGTACACGTGAGTCCGTTAGTGAGTGAGTGAGTGAGTGAGCTGGGTTTAATCCGTGGAGTGATGGTTAAAGAGAGGCAGGTCGTAGAGTGAGTGAGTGAGTGAGTTGGGTTTAATCCGTGGAGTGATGGTTAAAGAGAGGCAGGTCGTAGAGTGAGTGAGTGAGTGAGCTGGGTTTAATCCGTGGAGTGATGGTTAAAGAGAGGCAGGTCGTAGAGTGAGTGAGTGAGTTGGGTTTAATCCGTGGAGTGACGGTTAAAGAGAGGCAGGTCGTAGAGTGAGTGAGTGAGTTGGGTTTAATCCGTGGAGTGACGGTTAAAGAGAGGCAGGTCGTAGAGGTGTACCACTTTTACTCGAAGGAATAAGAGTCACGAATATAGGATTAGAACCAACATCAGCAGAACATAGCAGATCTTACCATATATACCCATTAGGAATTAGACAGTTCTTATTCCCCGTGAAATAAAAAACAAGTCAAAAAGATCATGTCGGGCATTTAATGAGACAAACCTTCTTTGCAAAACTGAATAAATCCCCCCAAAATGACAATGTTTCTGCATATTGAACGAAAGTGTGACTGATTGACCACTTTCTATTATAAAGTAGATAATGGAAGTTCATTCTAATATCAGCAAAAGCAATCTCCTGACTGCAGCTCTAAGGACGTCTTCGTCCCACAACGAATAAATAGCAACCAAACATGTTACGCTGTTCAACGTCGTGGTCTGTTACATACAGAGCATGAAAAACGAGATTTACAAAAAAGAACATGCGCAAATGGTAGAGCAACGAGTGTGTTTGGGCGAGCACTTCCATGTTAATTGATGAGTGTATTTGGACGAGCTATACCAAAACAAACCATGAACAACTGTTTCCTCCTGTTCAACCATGTTTCATTTATTTGTCATTTGTTAACCACTGACAATTTCCTGGGATCGGTACTATATCGTATAGTCCATGCACATTTTTCAGGAAATAGGGCAATGTATTATTCAATTTTATATCAAAGTAAATATAAATTGTCGTCAATACCAGCGACTAATCTGAATCGATCATCCATCGAAATTGATTCCAGTGGACTTAGAAGCAAAAGCCGGAGAAAAGTATATCGATCACAGAATATCACTGATGACACCAGGTGTTCGCGAAAAGGGTGCGTCCATTTGGACTTCACAAAATGATCCATGACATATGTTCTGCTTTCAGCAAAGACCTGTCCCGACCTTGACACCTTCTCCTGCACTGACACCTACAACTACGGCAGTCTCTGTTCCTTGACATGTAACGTGACTGCTGGACATGCTGTGACACTTCCGAGATCAACATTCTGTCTTCAAAACGGAAGTTGGCATTTACCAATACCCAGCTGCAGAGGTAAGCGAAAAGAGATTGTAAACTCGTAACCTTTGCCCCCATTGTCACCCTCCAGTAGTCACGCCTCCGTGGTCTAGTGGTAGAGCATCTGCCCCGAGAGTGGGACCGCCTCCGTGGTCTAGTGGTAGAGCGTCTGCCCGGAGAGATGGACCGCCTTCCTTGTCTAGTGGTAGAGCGTCTGCCCGGAGAGAGGGACCGCCTCCGTGGTCTAGCGGTAGAGCGTCCGCCCGGAGAGTGGGACCGCCTCCGTGGTCTAGCGGTAGAGCGTCCGCCCGGAGAGTGGGACCGCCTCCGTGGTCTAGCGGTAGAGCGTCTGCCCGGAGAGAAGGACCGCCTTCCTGGTCTAGTGGTAGAGCGTCCGTCCGGAGAGTGGGACCGCCTCCGTGGTCTAGTGGTAGAGCGTCCGCCAGGAGAGTGGGACCGCCTCCGTGGTCTAGTGGTAGAGCGTCCGCCCGGAGAGAGGGACCGCCTCCGTGGTTTAGTGGTAGAGCGTCCGCCCGGAGAGTGGGACCGCCTCCGTGGTCTAGTGGTAGAGCGTCCGCCCGGAGAGTGGCACCGCCTCCGTGGTTTAGTGGTAGAGCGTCCGCCCGGAGAGTGGGACCGCCTTCCTTGTCTAGTGGTAGAGCGTCCGCCCGGAGAGTGGGACCGCCTCCGTGGTTTAGTGGTAGAGCGTCCGCTCGGAGAGTGGGACCGCCTCCGTGGTCTAGTGGTAGAGCGTCCGCCCGGAGAGTGGGACCGCCTCCGTGGTCTAGTGGTAGAGCCTCCGCCCGGAGAGTGGCACCGCCTTCCTGGTCTAGTGGTAGAGCGTCCGCCAGGAGAGTGGGACCGCCTCCGTGGTCTAGTGGTAGAGCCTCCGCCCGGAGAGTGGCACCGCCTTCCTGGTCTAGTGGTAGAGCGTCCGCCAGGAGAGTGGGACCGCCTCCGTGGTCTAGTGGTAGAGCGTCTTCCCCGAGAATGGGGCCGCCTCCGTGGTCTAGTGGTAGAGCATCCGCCCGGGGATCCGATCCCCGGCCGCGTCATACCAAAAGACGTTACAAGATGGTACTTACTGTTACCCTGTATGGCGCTCGGCATTAAGGGGCTAAAACAAGGACTGGTCGGCTCGGAGTCAGTATACTGTGCCTGAGTGGGGTATTCATGTTAAACTGCGGCATGGTATCTCAGTGAGCTGGCACTGTAAATCGGCATCAGTCCGGACTAGTCATCTTCCCGAGGCAAGAGAGTTAACTGACTTTAAAAGTCCAGTTTCCACCCTTGCCGAACTAGGCTATTACCAGTTATGTCTCTTCTAGGCCTCTCCTATTGACCAATCAGATTCCACCTCTCGTATCACTTGCGTTTGCTTCACACAAAATGGTGGCGCCCAGTCAGGACGATCTGATGGATAATCAAGATCTATATTGTGATAAAACGGGTCTTACATCGCGAAATGCATCAAATCACGTGAGTACCTTGATTAAAAACATGAAAAGATTTGAAAAATATCTGCTGACAACGAGTTGGCGGTGCACATGTTTTGCAAATCCTGCAATCGATCAAAATCTGCATGACTTTCGATTTCGGCGCTTTATTTTGATTGGACTATGCATAGACTCGTTAGTCCAGCCAAGTAACTCCATAATACCAGTCTTGTTCGGCAAGGGTGGAAACTGGACTTTTATCGTCAGTTAACTCTCTTGCCTCAGGAAGATGGGACTAGTATGTTCATACAAAGGAACACTACTCTATTACCGCGTGCGATGATGTAGCCTTCGGGCTGACGTCCCGGCTTCGATTCCCAAATTGGGTACAATGTATGAAGCTCATTTCGGGTTCCCCCCTCGTGATATTGCGGGAATACTGCTAAATGCGGATTAAACCAGTGTGCATTTCCTCACTCACCTTAATCCGCATTTTTGTTAATCCGCGTAAATCGACAAATGGATATTCAAGTGGTTCGAGCGTTTGGCGTCCTTACAATTTGTGAAACTCATTTCTGGTACCACCGTGCTGTATTATGGCGAAAACGGGGTAAGATAAACTAGGATAAATTTTGTTGAATTCTTAATGAATTTTATCTTCATTTTAATCCCTACTTTGGTATTTTCTCTTCAGACACAGCTCCGCCGAAAATTAGCAATTGCCCAATGGAAAACATCGTTGCGTACGCTGTCAGCGCCGTCGCCATGACGACAGTGACATGGGACGATGTACTGGGGACGGACAACTCGGGAAATGTTTCAGTCACACAAACAGCGGGACCACTCTCAGGATCACCCTTTCCCGTTGGAAAGACGGACGTCAATTACAAAGCAGTGGATTCTTCAGGAAACGAGGCAGAATGTGAATTCAGCGTTCTTATCAACTGTGAGCATGCTTGTGAAAATCTATAAATAATTCACTTACTATTATGGTCTTGGGTAGCCTTGTGGCTAAAGCGTTCGCTCGTCACGCCTAAACCCGGGTTCGTTTCTCTACATGCGTATCGTGCGTGGAACTCATTTCTAAGTTCCACCGCTGTGATAGTGCTGGAATGATGCGAAAAGATGCGTAAAACAACATTCATTCACTCTTATGGGTTCGCGGCCTGAATACAGACAAAATGTGTCTGATTATCACCGATTTCTGTCTTTGTTCATTGTTGCGGTGCCTTATTTCATTCAAATGCCGTTAAATTTGATTTTATCGGGACTTGGCAAAATGCAAGCTAACTTTGCAAGGTCTGATAACTGAAATGTGATTTGCAGTGACTGAATCAACATTGCGATATTGCACCAGAACCGTTAAATGATCGTGGTTTCGAAACCCCAGATGACCCCAGATTGTGTTTCTAGATTTGTCAGCACCACTTCCTTGTTCGACGAATACCCGAGTGAGCGAGTGAGTGTGAGTGAGCAATATGTATATTCAGGCAAGTTTTTGAGGCAGTAATATTATGACTATAATATAACTATTATAGCTCACACTCACTCACTCAAAGTCCGGACATCTGGAAATCCACATATGTTAGAAGGCATATATAATTATGCCAAGAAGGTGTATATATGATTAGAAAGCACATGAATGTGTAAGTCTGTGTATGCTTAGAACGTCCATGTGATAAGAAGGTGTATATATAAGGCCTGTTTATGATCAGAAGGTCTATAGATGATTAGATCGTCACGATATGGCTGAAATATTGCCGAAGTGACAATAACATTTAATTCACTCACTCACTATATGATTAGAAGGTGTATATTTGATGAGAAGGTCTATATATGATTAGAAGGTATATATATATGATAAGAAGATCGATATACGGTGAGGAGGTATATTTTTGACGAGTCAATATATGATGAGAAGGTATATATATATATGATAAGAGGGTCATTTTATGATTAGAAGGTGTCTGTAGTATAAGAAGGTGATGAGAAGGTATATATATGATAAAGTCTATATATGATAATGAGGTCTATATATGATTAGAAGGTATAAATATGATGAGGTCTACAAATGATAACTTTAAGATATGATTAGAAAATGTATGTATGATTATTAACGTCTAAATATGATTAGAAGATCTATACATGATCAGAACGTCAAAATATGATCAGAAGGTCTATTGATATGATAAGAAAGTATATATATGATTAGAAAGCCTATACATGTTTAGAAGGTCAAAGTATGATCCAAAGGGCTACAGGATTATAAGGTTTGTGATAACAAGGAACCTTGCAGACAAAGAAGTTCTCAAGTTTTACTAAATATCGTTCACTGAACGTGCTGGAAATTGCAAAAAAAGAAACCAGACAATAATATTTACTGCAGCGTCCGGATAACCGGGGTTATATGACTTTTCCTGTACAGATCAGATCTGTCCAACTCCACCCTACAACGACCCGAGGCTGCGCTATGACTGCAGCAACCAGTATGACCTTGGCTCACGGTGTGACGTCAGCTGTACTGACGACTACGTCCTTGACGGATCAAGCTCCATACAGTGTCAGACAAATGCTGCCTTACTACCACGAATGTCCTGGGCCCTGTCGACTGGTTCCTCGCCGTCCTGTCACAGTGAGTTTAACATTCATTAAGTTTTGTCATTGTTGGAACTCTCTTTATGCTTTTCTGTTTACCATTAGACCGATAGGGGGCAAAAGAAACAGAAAATGAGTGAGTGAATGAGTGAGTGAGTGAGAATGGTTTTAGGCCGCTTTTAGCAATATTCCAGCAATATCACGGCGGGGGACACCAGAAATGGGCTTCACACATTGTACCCATATCGGGAATCGAACCCGGGTCTTCGGCGTGACGAGCGCACGTTTTAACCACTTGGCTACCCGACCGCCCCATTACAGAAAATGAAATACGCCTATGTTTTATATTGAAGAATTTGAAAGAAAGAGAATAATAGGCAAGTTAATATACATTTAGTTGTTAACCTTTCATATATTTAATGATCAGATGCATTGTAAGTAATCTCTGGTCGATGAAACGCCGTATTTGTCCCCAAACAAATAATTATAGAAAATTATGCAAGATATATGTCGATCTTCAAACTTAATATTATTTTTATTCGACCAAGCTAATGGGTTTGCTAAAACCCATAAACCCTGAAATTATAGAACTGTGACACGTTACGTAGATGTGGGATAACATGTACAAAGTGAATGAATGAAAACCATTTGATCATGACGATGGAGTTTCATTGTGCTTCATGTTTAGACCCGCTTAAAGCACATATGCAAATTTTGAAAATTGATAACACTCAGGCTTTCAAGTATTTCCCGTATTTAACCACCAGTATCCGGATGCTAAAACCCTTCGGTGTCAAACACGAAATAATTAACAACAATTCTTTAGCATGCTACGGTAAACTCGTCTAGGCCTACATGTACAAGACCTAAGTCAGTGATATATAAATAATCTACTGTTACTTTTTATCTGTCTTTTTAAAATGATTGTTTTCTGTTTTGATAGAGATATGAAAACATATACACATTATACTTGGCATTTGGTATCTACTGTATTTCAACCAAAAATGTTCTCTTATGTTCAATATTCATTTCATTATATTACTGCAGAACCAAAATGTCAACCCCTGAAGTCGCCTACCAATGGCTTTCTAACCTGCGACCACCATCAAACAGCTGGAGATATCTGTACAATGACATGCGATGATGACTGGGACAGGCCACGCAATGCACAATTCGATCTGTTTGCTTGTTCACCATCATCTGGCATCTGGCAGCCGACCAGTTTGGTACCAGATTGCACAGGTATTTTTTCCAGCTGTTTTGCGGGTAAATGTTCTTCTACGAGCTTGTTCTTTCTACAAAGGTTTCAAAAAGCGGCATACGACTTTTGCTCAATGTTCAAAGTTACAACATTCAAAGCCTCAGTAAAGCTTCCAAAAAAGTTTTATGATAATGCGGAGGATGCATCAGTGACAAAAATGATGTCCGATGTACCATATGTTCCCATGTTAATTCAAGTGAACAATTGACTCGCCCATGCATGTGTTTGTGACTGATTCCACTGGTGGGGCAGGATACGCTCACACCCTACACTCGAATTGCAACTTATTCAGTCATTTATACCAGCCCTGCCACTGTTATTGCCAAGAATATAATGCACTGAAATCAGATTGATAATTGAACATATAGTTCAAGCAGTTATTGATGTATTAGATTGGGTTATGTTACAATAACAATATCATTTTGAGACTTTTTTAACCTTTGTCAATTAAAAGTGACATTACAACTCTTTAGAAAGAAAAAAACAGTGATGATACATGGTTAGCATGATTTGTAGATGTAGAGCCATACAGCATAAATATGTTTTCGAATAAACAATTCATTAAATATAAGTTCTTTAAAATATTTATGTTCGTCCATTGTCTTTAGTCAAACGAATTCCAGGCGAGATGCGTCTGCTAGCCAGCATGAGATTTTACACAAGCAGCTGTGGCAACGCAGCTGGTAAACACCAGCTTCAGGGTACATTCCTACCACTCATCAACAGTACTACATTCTTCTCAAGTACGACTTGTGCCACATCCAGTTCCTGCTCAATAGAGGATGTCAGTGTTGAGTGTCTGGCTGTAAACCGCAGGAAGAGGAGTATAACTGATCGTGAGGTAAACATAAACGTTCGTTCGTTCGTTCGTTCGTTCAGCAAGTCTTTCTCATAAGTCAATTTGGCTGGATACTTATTTCATATGTACAATATCTCTGGCTGTAAACCGCAGGAAGAGGAGTATAACTGATCATGAGGTAAACATAAACGTTCGTTCGTTCGTTCGTTCGTTCAGCAAGTCTTTCTCATAAGTCAATTTGGCTGGATACTTATTTCATATGTACAATATCTCTGGCTGAAAACCGCAGGAAGAGGAGTATAACTGATCATGAGGTAATCATAAACGTTCGGTCGTTCGGTCGGTCGGTCGTTCGTTCGTTCGTTCGTTTAGCAAGTCTTTCTCATAAATCAATTTGGCTGGATACTTATTTCATATGTACAAAATCTCTGGCTGAAAACCGCAGGAAGAGGAGTATAACTGATCATGAGGTAATCATAAACGTTCGTTCGCTCGTTCAGCAAGTCTTTCTCATAAGTCAATTTGGCTGGATACTTATTTCATATGTACAATATCTCTGTCGCTTTACGTATAATTATGTCTGACACATAAATAAACATTTGAGCCATACTAATATTATGTTAGCTGTACGCACCTTATTGTTTTACAGCTTGATGTCCCACGTGGCCGGCACAAGCGGTCGGAGACGGCGTTAGTGGTGCGATGGCACTTCAGCGTGACGTACAGTTGCGCCAGCATGACGACAGATGACTGCGTCACGCACCACGAGAATGTCCTGCATGAGCTACGGGACAAGGTCCAGGTGATGCTGGACAGTGGGAGTTTCAACACGACCGTCGTCGGTGTCCACGTCCGCAGTGACTCCTTCAATTACAACTACGCTCACTTCAAATGTGGGGAAGGAATGCTACCAGTCCTTGAAACTGGTTCGTGTGGTAAGGGAATAGGCACCATACGTGTTTATTGTAACGTAATTTAACGTTTTGTAACAGTTTACATATTCATTAATATATTAATAGATGAGATCATAAAAGTGACATTTATCGTCTATATCTTATAAAACTAACTAGATCCCTACTCTTTTGTCAGTCGGGAGAACCGGTTGTCACAAGGCTCGAGATTTTATGAACACTTCTTATTTTCTGTAAGCTGTAAATGTACATCACTTCTTCAGCATTAAACTGACACATCGTGATATGACTGGAATACTGTTACAAGCGGCATTTTACCCAACTCACTCACTTATTGGCATAAAATGTACCAATGTGGTTTCTAATAAACAAGTATCAATTTTAAAAAGAATAAGGTTTAAAATTCAAAATTTCGATTCTGCCTATCAATTATAAATAATTTTTATTCAAGTTAATGGTAAAATGGTTCTTACCTGTAAAGTTGAAACAATTGTATGAACACAGTTTGCACACTTATCAGTCCTTAAGTCCATATACATTGTTGTCCACATTGTCATAATTATTATTACTCTTAAGTTATCAAATAGAAGTCGAAGTAGGATAAAGTCAATGAAGTTTCACATTTTTAAATTCAAATTTTCTTTTGAAATATTGCTATGACAAAAACCAGCCACGCTCAGTTGCCTAACTTTTAACCTTTTTGCGTCCTTTCGCTTGTAAGGTTACACTGGCATGCTAAAGTCTACAAGGTGTCAACTGGTGTTTGAGTATTCAACTGAATATAGAGAAATGCTAATGTTGTAGTTATACCTGTAGTAACATACATATTTATATCTGCGTATTTACACGGGTGTAGTAATTGGGGTCTTAGACTGTGTTGAAACCGAGTACCACTTCCTGCTTATTTGTTCCAACTATGTCAAGTAACGGCAACTATATCTCAAAGCAAAGTTCTATTGTCATCCTAACGTCCATAAATTTAAAATGCTTCTGTCATCACCAGATACATATATTATTACAAATCTAGCAAAATATCTATATTATGCAAATGAAGTAAGAAATGCGAAACTAAAAGCTTAAAACCTGTCTGTACTTAACTTTTGTACACAAAGGCCTGTGGCCTATATGTATTGGAAATTAAAAAAATGAATGAATTGGTGTCTTTGTCTCGCAGCCGTATGTCCAACGGGTACCATGTTTAACAGCACAACGACCTCGTGTGATCCCTGCAGTAAAGGTACTTACCAAAACGAAGACCACAGCTTCACCTGCAAGACATGCCCTAGCGGAACCAGCACTCTTGATAAAGGTTCGAGATCAAGTACAGATTGTAAAGGTAGGACCACAAAGACTATTACTGAAAGTCCCCATCATGAAACATGTTTTGTGAGTAACGATAACGAAATGGTTCTTTCTTTCAGTGGAAAGAAATTGTACATCTTCAGAAAGTGACAATGTGTCCCACAAACAAAATTCCTTATTACAATAGACAGTCGGTCCCTACAAATTTGGGACGATATTCCATCGTATTAAATAATACATCAAGATGAAGGAGTTCGAGTTAGGGATTGTCTGGCCCAGACTCGATTAATTACAGACCGACGTCATATAGTTGGAATATTGCTGAGTGCGGCATTAAACAACAAACAAACAAACAAAATTATTACAAAATTCATAACATGAAGAATGGCTTCAAGCTTCGACCGACTGATATCTTAGTTTCATGTACATGTTGGTTTTCTTTTTAATTTTGCATCGTTATACATTAAGTTGTAATGCATCATCTGAGTAAGTGAGTTAGTTGTATTGTACGTCAATCGTTAGCAAACTTTCAGAAATATCGAGACATGGGACACCAGTGGGCTTCACACATTGTATCCATGTGGGGAATCGAACCAGGGTCTACAGCGTGACGAGCAAACGCTTTAACCACTAGGCTTCCCCGCCACCCCTTATATTATGATGATACATTTTTCCAACACGATATATTGTGGGTTTATTCAATTGTTAATTCTCTTCCTTCAAGTCCAGTGTCTGGCAGGACAGGCATCCCCTAACGGGATAGAGCCCTGTGTTGTGTGTCCCATTGGCGAGTACCAACCGTCGGCAGGGACCAGACACTGCCTCCCTTGTCCTCGAGGTACCATGACCACCATCACTGGAAGCACACATAGAGAAGCGTGTACATGTAAGTATGCGAGTAATACATGATCTTCTTCAACAGAATTGTTAAACATGTTTATAATATGATGGTTCTTTGTAAACTTTGTGGTATAATCCATATAAATTCAATCAAATTCTTACTTATAGCGCTGCCCAAAACTATTTCAGTAGTTTCTATAACCGGAGCCACTGGTGGCGCACTAGTCGTTATGCGCCGCAACTCGTTACATAGAGTTGCGTCCCTTAGTTGTACCAGGATCCGCGGATCGTGGATTATGATGCATGATAATGAGTTAACAAATACATATTTCTTATAATCATGTTATAAAGAACAGGTGCAAGGATTTTGTTTTTTGTGGTTTTTATCCTGATGTTAACCTTTTCTTCTCTTTTTGTGTTGTATATGTTTGTTGATTTAAACATATTTTATTGCAGAAAATCAAATGGATTAGGCACATGTGACACACTTACTAGGCATTCTATGTTTGTTATGTACATATTGTTAGCATGGGTGTAATTATTATAACATTATGTCCACACAGCCTTTGAGTTCTCCAGCCAAGGTGATGTCCAACTGACAAGCATTGCACCAACGTCATCTGATATTCTCGACTTCACATTGTCAGTCTGGTACAAAGCCACCAATCTTACAAAGGGTACAACTATATCCGCTGGTGGCACTGCCTTTGTGCTCCTTATCAAACAGCCAATGACGATCTCCTTAAATGGGTGAGAAACATTTAATTATTAATAATCCACTGAAAGGAGATGTTAAAATGACCTTGGCTGACCCACAAAACATGACAAATTTTATCTTTGAAAAATGTTACCAAATTAGCGTTACTAGCATTGTTCTCTTAATACAACTTTTACTCAAGTAATCAACCATACACCAACCCACTATCACCCACTCTCGACCGCCTCCGTGGTCTAATGGTAGAGCGTCCGCCCGGAGAAACTGTTATATCGTTACTGGCATTGTTTCTCTTAACACGACACTCACTTTCTCAAGCACTCAACCATACATGAACACACAAACACTCTCACTTGAACTTGTCAATTTGTTAAGTCCTGATTTCAATACATCTCACGACCGCCTCCGTGGTCTAGTGGTAGAGTTTCCGACCGGAGAGCGGAATGTCGGTGGTTCCATCACCGGCCGCGTCATACCAAAAGACGTTAAGAGATGGTACTTGTTGTTACCCTTGCGGCGCTCGGCAATGAGGGGCTGAAACAAGGACTGGTCGGCTCGGAGTCAGTATTCTGTGTCTTGAGTTATGGTATTCATGTTAAACTGCGACATTGCTAGCACTATAAATCTGCCTCAGTCCGGACTAGTACATGCCGAAACAAACACCTGCATGCACGTCGCTATATAAGTGCACTAATCTTGGACGCGACGTTAAACCCCATTTCACCTCACCCTATTCTTACATTGCAGAGTGCAGATGATCACCGCTGGGACATATCTCAACAGATGGACTCGCTTGGACGTGACGTTTCACTCAAGCACCCAAAATCTGACGCTGTATAGAGACGGGCAGACAGTGTCTGTGTCAGTAGCTTCTCAAGCACCAGTAATAGCATCGTCATCAACGCTGTCTCTCAATGTTGGCAGTAGTGATGGTAAAAATGACCTTTTGTCATAACTTTAGTCACGAAAGACAAGTCGATATTTTCACTCAACACCTGGTGTCAGCACTATTTGATAGTGATTCATAAACACATGCCCATGATATAGTCAGAATCGTACAATCAATTCTACTTTTGGTAGATATTTCTTATGAACATAGAAATAGTTTTGAAGCTTTTATTGTCACACATGGGAATACATAGGACATTTGCATTCGTAGCTCGCCACTGGATGACAAAAACAAGATATTTCACAATATGATTCAATGACCTCTATGTACAATGGTTTCATTAGCAGTAGATACCATACGGTATTGTGTAAATACATATATTACATATACCCTGAAATAAATGCAGCAGCAATCGGCAGATACGTGTCTTCCCGCTGCTGTCGAACTATTCCAAGTATGGAAGTATGTGTTCGAGGACATGTGAGGTAGTCTGTGATGACCTATTTTACCTGAACAAAAGTCAGGTTTTGTATTTCAAGGCAGGCACAGGTTATTGTTGCACAAAGCGATGGTATACTACCATCATTTAATATGTACTTGAAACAGTCTTAAAGATATGAAGACATATATGCTTCAAGTGGCCCTGATTGTTATCGCAATCTGTTCCAGCAATATCAGTAAGGAGCATGGCCCTGTACAAGACCTGCAAGACGGCCGCGCAGATCCTGGCGATGGCGTCCACCTGCGACACAATGGAGGATGACAATATTGTTCTTTCCGTGGATCACATGAGCAAAGGAGGTCCTGGATCGATCACTATGAAGTCACCGAGCTCATGCAAGGGTTAATATTTTTGTATTGAATGGTCTTCAGTGCGTCATTGATATAGATGCTCCTCAATCCATTGAGACACTTCTACGGAAGCCTTTTAGGGACATTTTTTTCATACCATCTTGAAATTTCAAGATACAGAAGTTGACACTATGTTGAAATTTCAACTTATTATCTTGAAATTTCAACTTCTATATCTTAAAGATTCAAGACAGAATCTTGAAATTTCAACTTAGTTTCTTGAAATTTCATGACAGTATCGACAAAAATATAAAATAAATTACCCTAAAAGGCTTCCGTAATGTTCTGGCCTTACGTCGAATTTATGCATTTGCTATGTTGGTAAACAGTATTAGCTTTCAGATTTGTAGATGTCACTGAATATTAAACATTTCAACGTTGGTAGAAACAGAATAATATGTTCCAGAAACTACTGAGAAAAATCATTCTTGTATGAAACAGTTTCCCATTTCGACTTGTAACATGTGTTCAAAGTATTTTTTTTAGTTGAACAATTTACTTGTCCTTGCATGTGTGTGTGATGGTTGCCACCGATGGGGCAAAAAGCGTTCACCATGGTTTTTTTTATACAACATGAAACAGTGACCTAAACTATTGTCAAGAACCTCCCAGCACCACCCCACCATCACATCTACCCCCCACCCACCAAGTCCCTCCAACACCCATCCCAACCCCCACCCATCAAGTCCCTCCAACACCCATCCCAACCCCCACCCACCAAGTCCCTCCAACACCCATCCCAACCCCCATCGATACTCGGTTCATAAAGAGTGTCTGTTTCTGTCATCAGCTGTGGAGGAGTGCCTGGCGTCCCCGTGTAATGGGCACCCATGTCTCGACACTCCCACCTCCTATGTTTGTCAGTGCCAGAGTGGCTACACTGGAAGGACCTGTGCCTCGCCGCCAGACTTCTGTGAACATCATCAATGCGAGAACATGGCGCTGTGCAGGTCTGGTGGCTCCAACTACACATGTGAATGTACGCAAGGCTTCCGTGGACCTTTATGCCAACAACGGATCGGTAAATATAGACGTAGGCACGGAACGAGGTATCACAGGTCACCTCTCATATGAGGAAACCAGTTGACTAAAGTAAGTTGGGTTTAACGCCGCTTTTAACAGTATTCCAGTTAATTCGCGGCGCGTCAGCTTAATGTGGGAGGAAAGCCCGAAGTAATGCAGGTCTCAGACGTTTACAACTTTGGTGAAACCCACGAGCATGGGTATGGTGCTGATAAACGTAGAAACATAATCGGGGCGAACCGGGATTCGAACCCACAATCATAGGTTTCTGGCGTGCCCAAGGGACGCTACTCTGCACATCGAATCGCGGCGCCTTAGACGACTGGGCCACCCGTGCCTCCAGATGACTAAAGACCGCAGTAGGAGTGAGTGAGTGAGTTGGGTTAAACGCCGCTTTCAACAGTATTCAAGTTATATCACGGCGGCTCATGTGGGAGGAAAGCGCGAAATGATGCAGGTCTTACACTTGTACCACTCTGGTGAAGCCCACAAGTACGGGTAGAAATCTAGAAACATAATCGGGACGAACCGGGATTCGACTCCGAGGCTAGAGGATTCTGGCGGGCACAGTGGACGCAACTCTGCATAGCAAATCGCGGCGCCGGAGATGACTGGACCAACTGTGCCCCCGACAGGAAGGCGTGAGTCCTGAGAGTCTGTCGTGCCCCATGCTATGAAATGTGTCCTGTGTGATACTAACTTCTGTTCACCCTGCATTGTCAAGGATATTGATCGTGTAGCGCTGCGATCATGTCCAGCTCGGAGCTTTCTGAGCTCTTACCGGAGGCGAAAAGCCTTATATCACTACACAGGAACATTTCTCCAACTTACGAAGGAGCAGACAGATTACGGCGTTGCCCGCTCGCATTATGCCTTATGTCGACAAAACTAACAGAAAAACACCCTATACTTAGAAGTACGCCAATTTCACTAGTTAGTTAAAGACTGGACCTCCGAGCTTGACTGAACGATTGTGTAGCGCCGTGAATGTCCCTTACAGGATTCCATACTTTAGGCCATGGATAGGGTGTGATATAGATATGCATTAATTATGTATTGTTATCACGTGTGTCACAGTGGACCATTCTGTATGTAGCTGCGAGTCTGTTCGTCTTACACCCATAGCAAATACACCCAAGCACGAACCGTCTCACGCGAACAGAATTCTAAATACTGGTCACTCTAACAAACATGGCACAGTTGCTGCCAATTCCGAATCTGCTGTATCTGCTAGTTTGGGTGTCAAATCTGTGAATCACGCTTGGTCTGACAACACCATAGTCCTGCTCGTTGGTTGCAGTAAAAGTAGTCAACATCTGTGACCTGTGAGGGTTGGGTTTTCACCCATGTCATAAAGCTTTAGAATGCCCAATCGATCACTCCAAACGTGCTACGATTAGGTCGGGTAGCCTAGTGGTCACGCCGAAGACATGGGTACAACGTGTGAAGCCCATTTCTGGTGTTCCTCGACGTGAAATTGCTGGAATATTGCTAAGAGCGGCGCAAAACCACTCACTCACTCACTCACTCACTCACTCAATCATTTATTCACTCACTCACTCATATATGGATATCAGAAAAAATCTTATGAACTTTCGTGTGTTGACGTAATAAATTTCAACTATCCAAACTTGCCATAGTTGCAATACAACGCATATGCATGGCAACTTGTCCCGTGTTTGATTTGGTCCGCCAAAATGTTGCACAGTATAACATGTTCAATTCAGTTGATGGTGGTTGGTCAACTTGGACGGGCTGGTCAGCATGTTCTGTGACGTGCGGGGGTGGCCTCAGGACAAGGTCAAGGTCATGTGACAGTCCACTACCGGATGCTGAAGGGACGGATTGCCCAGGACCAGCCACAGCAACCTTGACCTGCAACACGCTGAACTGTTTAGGTAGGAATCAGTGATGAACGAGGAGGAACATTTACAATGAGTTAACTCTATACATGCCATGCTTCTAACCATCGTGTCCCAATTGCGCAGATCGATGCTCATGATGCCAAGCGCTTGATTGTCTGGTCCAGACTCGATTATTTACAGACCGCCGTCAGATACCTGGAATATTGCTGAGTGCGGCGTTAAACAACAAGGAAACAAACAAATATGCTTGTAACCAGACATCATATTAGAGGCGTTGGCGGCCATGGCAGCTAAGACCTGTTCCTGTAGAGTTGCATCCCGTTGTATTGCCAGAATCCGATGATCGTGCGTCGTTGCAAAACCATATTTCTTAAGTGTTGCTCTTTAATTTGTAAGCAGCGGATTCGACGCACTTGTACGCAGTAGACGTAATTCAAAATTAATGTATCGTTTTCAGTTTCAATAAAATCAGTAAACGGCTATTACTTACTTACTTACTTATATTGGAGATTTTACGTGCCCTTTCCGACTGCAGCGTATTTCGCACACGGGCCCGGCCAAGCCATTTAATGTGTTTCCGAAAAAGGGGAAAAAGTTGTTTGGCAGTCCAGTAGGGGTGTTTTAGTGGTTGCTTATATAGAATTTTGGAAATTTTGAGATTTGGAAAAAATGCCAAGAGGGTTTGGGGGACGAACTAAGGGACCTGAGTATGGAAGTTTGTTAGTTTGATTATGTGGTTTGGTTTTGGAAGTTTATTGGGGTTTTAAATGCGATTAATTAGTCCTGTTTGATTAAGTATACGCCTAAGGCTTTGAATTTTTCTATTTTATTTTGTGGGTTTAGGATTGCTTCTAGAGTAAGAGCCTTATTCAGATTTAGGGTGGTTTGTAGTGTAGTTCGGTGTGTTAGGTAGTGGGTGCAGTGTATGAGTGCGTGTTCTGGAGTTTCATGTGTTTGCAATGTGGGCAAACAACAAGAAACCCCAGAACACGCACTCATGCGGCTATCCTGTCATACGGCGGAGGTACTGCTGTGCGGCGTCAAGCAACAAACAAACGCTTACTTTTCCTGCAGAATGTGTGAGTGACAGGTGCTGTGAGTGGCGGGTGCTGTGTGAGTAGCAGGTGCTGTGTGAGTGGCAGGTGCTGTGTGAGTGGCAGGTGCTGTGTGAGTGCGGGTGCTGTGAGTGACAGGTGCTGTGAGTGGCAGGTGCTGTGAGAGGCAGGTGCTGTGTGAGTAGCAGGTGCTGTGTGAGTGGCAGGTGCTATGTGAGTGCGGGTGCTGTGTGAGTGGCAGTTGGTGTGTGAGTGGCAGGTGCTGTGAGTGGCGGGTGCTGTGTGAGTGGCAGGTGCTGTGAGAGGCGGGTGCTGTGTGAGTAGCAGGTGCTGTGTGAGTGACAGGTGCTATGTGAGTGCGGGTGCTTTGTGAGTGGCAGTTGGTGTGTGAGTGGCAGGTGCTGTGAGTGGCGGGTGCTGTGTGAGTGGCGCGTGCTGTGTGAGTGGCAGGTGCTGTGGGAGTGGCGCGTGTTGTGTGAGTGGCAGGTGCTGTGTGAGTGGCAGGTGCTGTGTGAGTGCAGGTACTTTTATTTCAAGTGGTGGTTTAGAATATTTAGACAATAAACCAACCGAATTCACACCAATACCGATTCCATGCAAGACCAATCCTTCAGTCTGACACCCATGTTTCTATTGCAATGTTGGCTGTAGCGAATGTACTTTTGTTGCAGTCTGTAGTTCATCACAGCTTCAATTAGGATATGGTAATATCGTCAGCGGTCCGGAGTGTAATGGAACAGCTGGAGCCCTCGACTGTAGACCTGTCTGCATAGAAGGCTTCTTCACACCAAGGCATCAGATCACCGTGTACACATGTAGAGAGGGACACTGGAGTCCAGCCACCAGACTGCCGTCCTGCATCAGTAAGAATTCAGGGAAAACGTTTTTCAAGACACCGTTTGTTAGGAAACGTTTATATGCCGTTAAAGATACATGACTACGTACATATTGTTCGTAAATCCACCATTTTCTTATTCTGAATGATTTCACTGGGATCTGTATTTTTCAGATGGGAGGGGTTTCACTGTGTAGTGTAATAACAAACATTGTGAGTGAGTGAGTGAGTGATTTACGCCGCTTTTAGCAATATTCCAGCAAAATCACGTCGGAGAACACCAGATGTGGGCTTCACACATTGTACCCATGTCCAGGATCGAACCCGGGTCTTCGGCGTGATGAGCAAACGCTTTAACCTCTAGTTCATCGACCGCCCCACAAACAAAGTCTTGGACGTTGCTTATTCTAGAATACCTCCCCGTTGTATACCTGGTCAGAAATGACCTAAACACTCCATTTGTATCGTAGAGGCCGTGCAAAAAAAGGCTCGGGTGGCTAGACCTGGTTGACAGCGTGTCATTTTACTCCGATGATGAGGAACGTTGTTCATGCTTTCAATCACTGGTTTGTCTGGTTCATGCTTGATTATTTTGCAGGCCGTCGTGATATAGGTTGAATATTACTTCCTGCGGCATACAACAACATATACTCACTCACAAATACCAGTAATCTCATTTCTCGTAACACATCTGTTTCATATTATGATTATTATAAACGTATAAGTTCGGACAATACACAATCAATGAACCTATACTGTGTAGCAATTAGCAGTATAAGTAAATTTGTACAAGATACACTACACGATTTGCTTTTCCAAAACGTACCTGGTAACTGCATTGTACTGCCAGTTTAGACAAAGTATGCAAGAACAAGCAGTCAAAAACAGTAACAGTAAACAATAATATATTATTCGTGTTTAGATTATCCTTTATCAAAGTCCATTTTCCTGACTTATAATTAAATGCAAGAACAATCGGCCGGAATACAATGTATAGTTCTTGTCCACTTCCATATGACTATATAGCATACAATAGCTATCGGGTCCCGTTAAGATCGGTTTGGGTGGCAGCCTAGATAGCCATAGAATAGTTTCATCTTGGAATCTCCCATATCACTGGGGATCCTCTTCAATTTAAATGGAGTTACTCATTACGATTCCGAACCTTCACGTGACTGTGTTTATGAAGCATTGTCAAATAGTGGTGACATTAAATCTAGGAAACAATACGCGAAATCGCGCATGCACAGAACGGAAAATTTGGTCAAGGCATTAAGTTATCCGCATGCGCAGAACGATTGATTTCAGTACTTCCGCTAAGCGCTTCGAATGCAGCGTCAACCGCGGGCCTGTAATCTAACACGCGAGGACTGACCAATGAAATCTGAGAAGTAGAAATACCGGTAGACGCTGTTGCTTGATTGACAATGTCAATCAAGAAAGGGAGGAGCTTAACGCTATCGTTCTCTCCCAGTAAATTCCGATGTCAAATAACGACGTTATTTGGACGGAAAAACGATGGTTTGAAAACGTCCAAATAACGTCGTTTTTCCGTCCAATGACCATATACGGAAAAAAACGACGTTTTCGTGTTTGCAGTGTAAACACTAAGAATTATAAACAAATACATCTTGTTGTTGGTTTCACAGTAGACGCCAATATATACTTTCAGTCCATTATATACACCTGATTCAAAGTTAAGTACTGCTTACTGTATATTTCAGTTCAAAATTGTTATTTTTTTAAAAATCGGTCCAGAAACAGGTTTCTGATGAATAGTAAATGTGTCTTGAAAATAAAAGCTATGTGTAATGTGCTTTCAGGAGTTATCTCCCCTACATCAATGTCACTGACGGCTCAAGTGAACTACACGGGCGAAACGTGTCTCACACCGTCACACTCAGAAGACCTGAAGATCTCCTTGACCCAGAACCTCGGTAGAGTTGAGTGTGGAAGGAAATCAACCTGTTCAATCAGTGTTGCCTTTCCTGGTTGTAGCCCCGAGGGCATAACAACGACTTATTCCCTCTTCACCGTCAACCTCACAAACTCTGACCTTGACCTTAACCTTGACCTGCCATCCTATATTCACAATAAAACACGTAAGTACATCACCTCAACCACAATTTTAAACCTATAGAAAGTGTGTTCTGTATTGTGATTGGCTTATTTGGGTCACATGACCAAATGTCAAAGGGTGAAAATTTGATTTGCATTCCCTGAAGCAAGCGACCGAATCACTGTGTAGGAATACATAATTACTCAGCATATTTTGCATACTAATCACCAAAGCAACAACGGAACGTTCGATGTTGACGCCTCACAACCGACTAAGTTCGGGGTATTAAAGAGTGCGCATGTTTTTTTTCTAAATAAAACAATAGGTTTACAATACCGTGAAAAACGGGTGTCGGGTAGCCCAGTGGTTAAAGCAATGGCTCATCACGCCGAAGACTCAGGATCGATTCCCTTCATGGTACAATGAATTCAACTAATATTGGAATATTGCTAAAAATGGTGATAAACTTTACTGATTATATATCATGAATCGAAACGGATCGTCCGAATAACGATCAACACTTCCCATAATCTGGCTATCAAACCAAACTTTCTGAGTGACGAGAGTGTACGGGGAATATCCATGTCAGTGGTTGATAAGGCAAGCATAGAGTTTCGAGCAGTGTATCAATGTGAATCAGCTGGAATTTTGTTTTATTAATTTATCATTTTTATATTCTCCAGTATCTCCGGGGCTTGCAGCTGTGGTTGATGCTGTCGAGACATTGGAACAAACAGCTCGACAGTTACAGAATACAAGTACGTCTGTCTGGACCGTGACGTCAAATAGCGTGACGTACTCGCCGTCATATCCCATCAACGTCACAGCTGATGTCATCTGCCCCCGAGGGACGTTTCCTGAAGATGGGTTGTGCGGTATGAAAAGTGCTTTGTTTTAATGCGTACATGTTTTAGGAACAATAACAATGTTTTGACTTCGCTTGTAGCAAATACATATTTGTAATGCATAAACTTCGATTTCGAAGTCCTTCTTATGTTCTCACCTCATACCTCGATTGCTTGAATTGATTCCATAAATGTGGCACGAGTGGCACAGCCGTCTAAGGCGCTGCGGTTCCCAGTGCAGAGTTGCGTCCCTTGGGCACGACAGAAACTTATTGTTGGTTCGAATCCCGGTTCGCCTCGATTATGTTTCTAGGCACCATACCCGTGCTCGTGGGTTTCACCGAAGTGGTAAACGTCTGAGACCTACATCACTTCGGGCTTTCCTCCCACATTAAGCTTGCACGCCATGACATAACTGGAATACAGGTAAAAGCGGCGTTAAACCAAACTCACTCACTGATGCCTATAGTGGAAGTGAGATTTGAACAGTAAGTCCGTTATAAATGAGAGAAATACCCGAAGTAATTAACCCAAGTTTTAAGAGTAATTTCATTTTGGTTAAACCAAAGACAATACAGTACACTACGGTTATAACGAACTCAAAGTAACCACTAATTTTAGTTCGTTATAACCCTAGTCCGTTATATGCATATATACAACATATAAACAGCAAATGGATGGGACCCCCAAACAGTTCGTTATATCCGTCAGTTCGTTACAAGCGAGTTCGTTATAAACGTAGTTTACTGTAATGAATCAACCCATAATCAGATGATAGCCAGGGACATTCAAAGAAGGTTTATATTCGGCAGTTTTCCCGAGGAGGAGCTTGAAAAATAAAATAAATATATACAAATTAAATTTCGACAGTAAACGAATTTGGTCGGTATGAATTCAAAAAGTAGATACAAATAATGTTGTGGCGAAGTTGAAGGGACCCACGTAAATACTTCGAGTTATCCGATGTTCGAAACGACCGAAAATGATAAATAAATAATTAATATGTTATGCAAGCCTTTTACTTCGAGACAACCATACGTTTGACACGTCAAAGTTCGACACAATGGTGTTTGACTGAACAAGCGTGAAAAAGAGGATCTCTGCTAAAAGCTCCATTGTACGATTTACAATAATCATATATAAATCACAACCAAATAGGGATAATATCAATTCGTGATAAGGTGAGCGTATCCTGCCTGATCCGTCAAAGTCGTTGTTCAGTAAACACGGGAATATATGGTACAAGACAAAATAGGGAATTGCTTTTGGCACTGATGCGTCAAATATGGACATGTCCACCAAATGTCTACCATAAATAAATTTGAAAGCTTTACGAAGGCATTGAATGTGTTACCCTGATCAAACAAGTTTGCGCAAGAGTCGTATGCAGCATCTTTTGAGTTATAATCTCTGATTCAGGTGAATGTCCAGCGGGTACATTCTACAGTGATATCCGCAGCACATGTGTTCTCTGCGCCCGGGGAACGTACCAGAGCACTCCAGGGCAGTCACAGTGCAGAGAGTGTCCCCCGGGGAGGACAACGCCATACAGTGGGTCCACGTCCGCTGAAGAATGTACCCACACAACAGGTAGGAACGAATGCGTTGACTTTGAGCAATAGTCCAGGAATATCACGGCAGGGGGTACCAAACACAGTCTTCACTCATTGTACCGACGTGGAGATTTGAGCCCTGGCCTTCGCCATGCCGGCCAACACAACAGTTAGGAGTTTGTCAGTTGGGGGGATTCAGTTGTCCTTTGTTTGTTTATTTGTTGTTTAACGCCGCACTCAGCAATATTCAAGCTTTATGACGGCGGTCTGTAAATAGGGGCATTCGTCACCACTCGCCCCTTTCCGTAACCTGCAAGAAGACTCGTCCCCCTATCGATGAATGTTATGTGCGAAAATACGAAAAACCAATCAGAATTCGCGTATGATTTCAAGTTCTTCATCAAAGAATCCCTCAGAAATAATGTTTGATTTTACATATGTCCTGCATCTAAAAATATACCAAGACACAGTTAAGTGTGTTCAATCACACTGTATAATTCCGCACGTCCCGATGTGCTTTAAATTGCATCTGAAATATGTATAATATATGGGGAAATATATGTAAACCATTACGCAACGAGTTGACAATTGTTTTAGGTATGCCCGTTTGCGCTAAGACGAAACCCAGTCGCAAAAATGGCCATGAGAGGGGCACGAGTCGCTATTCGCGATCGGCTTGTCCCGGAATAACACGAGTTGGTCACGAATGGAAATAGGGGGTGACTCTGCTGAAAGACTCGAGGCGTGTTAGAACCCTGGGATGATTCTGCTGAAAGACTCGAGGCGTGTTAGAACCCTGGGATGATTCTGCTGAAAGACTCGAGGCGTGTTAGAACCCTGGGATGATTCTGCTGAAAGACTCGAGGCGTGTTAGAACCCTGGGATGATTCTGCTGAAAGACTCGAGGCGTGTTAGAACCCTGGGATGATTCTGCTGAAAGACTCGAGGCGTGTTAGAACCCTGGGATGATTCTGCTGAAAGACTCGAGGCGTGTTAGAACCCTGGGATGACTCTGCTGAAAGACTCGAGGCGTGTTAGAACCCTGGGATGATTCTGCTCATAGACTCGAGGCGTGTTAGAACCCTGGGATAATTCTGCTGAAAGACTCGAGGCGTGTTAACACCCTGGGATGACTCTGCTGAAAGACTCGAGGCGTGTTAGAACACTGGGATGACTCTGCTGAAAGACTCGAGGCGTGTTAGAACCCTGGGATGACTCTGCTGAAAGACTCGAGGCGTGTTAGAACCCTGGGATGACTCTGCTGAAAGACTCGAGGCGTGTTAGAACCCTGGGATGATTCTGCTCATAGACTCGAGGCGTGTTAGAACCCTGGGATAATTCTGCTGAAAGACTCGAGGCGTGTTAACACCCTGGGATGACTCTGCTGAAAGACTCGAGGCGTGTTAGAACACTGGGATGATTCTGCTGAAAGACTCGAGGCGTTTTAGAACCCTGGGATGACTCTGCTGAAAGACTCGAGGCGTGTTAGAACACTGGGATGATTCTGCTGAAAGACTCGAGGCGTTTTAGAACCCTGGGATGACTCTGCTGAAAGACTCGAGGCGTGTAAGAACCCTGGGATGACTCTGCTGAAAGACTCGAGGCGTGTTAGAACCCTGGGATGACTCTGCTGAAGGACTCGAGGCGTGTTAGAACCCTGGGATGATTCTGCTGAAAGACTCGAGGCGTGTTAGACCACTGGGATGACTCTGCTGAAGGACTCGAGGCGTGTTAGAACCCTGGGATGATTCTGCTGAAAGACTCGAGGCGTGTTAGACCACTGGGATGATTCTGCTGAAAGACTCGAGGCGTGTTAGAACCCTGGGATGATTCTGCTGAAAGACTCGAGGCGTGTTAGACCACTGGGATGATTCTGCTGAAAGACTCGAGGCGTGTTAGACCACTGGGATGATTCAGCTGAAAGACTCGAGGCGTGTTAGACCACTGGGATGACTCTGCTGAAAGACTCGAGGCGTGTTAGAACCCTGGGATGACTCGGCCTGATATAATTCAGTCACGTTAAACTCACTCTCTACGACAAAACTGGGAATTTCCGAAAGACAATTTGTCACATGTGTACTTACAAGTCTGTTCTGATTTGATTTAGTTGGAATATAGTCGTTGAAAATTTATATCAGACGCAATACCCGTTTTGTTTACAACAAAGTTACAAAATATATCATATACCCTTTTTGAGATATCTGACAGTGAGCACGCCTTAACATGCTTACCTTTGATTGATTTTGTTCCATATTTTGTAATGTATTTATTTACATCGTGGGTGAAAGACTTGCTGATGTTCAAATATTAAATAGAACGCTTCCTTAAAAATCACCATTTTGATTCATTTAAGCCTTCCTTCCACGTTCGGTGTTTAAGTCTACATCCTAAAAGCTTTGACACGAACAATGTCTAATTCTATCTCACATGAATACACTCTTCAAAAAAAGAAACGCACATGTAGTAAGCAGTTCATTGAACCTGACTACACAACAATTCCGGTATATAAATTAGATGTTATTGGAAAATTGGATGTTATTGGAAAATGTTGGTGGTCTGATATTCGACAAACGGTGCGTCAAAACGCAGCTATTGTCGATTTGCAATGTCTTAAACGGCATTGTTTTCACACTCGATCAAAAATGTCATGGAGGAAAACAGTAAAATAAAATGGACGTGCAAGTTATGGCATTCGTAACTCGTGGTACTGGCTATAAAAAGGCAAGCATAAGCCAAAAGTTTGTCATTCAATTGTCAACATTTTTCAAGTTCGAAAATGCCGAGACTCAGCGCTGCCGATCGGAACATCTCTTGGACGTAGCCAGAGGGGAATCGCAGTCTTCTGTTGCACGCCATGTCAACGCCCACCACAGCACCATTTGCCGCCGTTGGGACCGATACACACAGTTCAAATCCACTGCACACCGTTCGAGAAACGGCCGACCAATAGTTACCACCCCTGCACTGGATCGCTACATTTGTCCGTTCCACCTACGTCATCGCAATGCCACAGCTGCGGTGACTGCAGGACATATCCCTGGTTTGAGGAGGATATCGGACCAGAATGTCAGGAACAATCTTCGCGAGGCTGGAATCCGACCCAGAAGACCAGTTATCGTCCCTGTTTTGCAACAGATAAATCGACAGCGTATCATATTTGTTTTATTCACATGTTAACACATATTATATTCACAAACAGAGCCGAGTTTTTGAAATAGCATGTTTGAAGGTGTAATCCTTCCGTGTCAGTGTTGATCTGTGAACCCTTTGATCTGTTTCCTATGCTTCTTAATACAATAGGGGTCACGGGTGGCCCAGTCGTGCGAGTCGTCGCAATTCGCTTTACAGAGTTGCGTCCCTTGGGCATGCCAGAACCCTGTGATCGTGGGTCCGAATGCCGGTTCGCCCAAATTATGTTTCTACGTTTGGCAGCACCAGACCCGTGCTCGTGGTTGTCATCAAAAAGTGGTAAACGTCAGAGGCCTGTATCACATCGGGCTTGTACTCACATTAAGCTCCCGCCACGATATAACTGGAATACAGTTTAAAGCGGCGTTCACCTGACTCATTCCACTCACTCTTTATATCATATAGTATGATTCAGTGTTTGTGAAATACATAATTAGTACCTTTTGAGCAGGTACCGTTGGTGGTCAACAATCAGATACAAATGTAGATATTTCCAACAGACACATACCAATGAATGCACTGTATGCTGAAGACCAATGTCGATAAATTCTTTCCAGATACTACATTAGTTCCAAAGGGTTCTCACGTTGAGAGCAGTACTCTTGTCTTCACAACCAAACAAGGTAAGAAACATACACAGGTTACTAAGGCACTTCTACATTACTTCAGTAAACGCGGAGAGTTACGCCCCTTAGTTACATCCGGATACACTCAAGGCCTCAGTCAAGCTTTAGAAACGTTTTATGAACACATGTGGAGGGCATTTCCAAATTTGACAAAAATAATGCCCGATGCAATTCGCCATTTTGACTTGTGCCACATGTTCCCGTTCTTTTCAGGTGAACATTGACTTGCCTTTGTATGTGTTCTTGACGGCTGCCACCGGTTGGGCAGTATACGCTCACCTTTTCGCGAACAGTGAGAGAGTTAACATGTAGCGTCACATCGGCAATACTTCAACCATATCGCGAAGTTATACATTTTTAATAAATACATTTAGACTGAAAACAATCGGTCATCGATGGACAGGACAATAACTAAATTATCACAGATTTTGAGTATCAGATCATATGGATGAATAAACTATCCCGTGTTCTTACACGTGCATCGACAATTCTCGATTCTGATTACAAAACACACCTCTGATTGAAGCATGATAGTTCCTTGTTTTTCACATGTTTCCATGGAAACGTTAACATATTAGTATTGATATATATGCCATAGTTTTAAATGCTTTTCCTGTATGCATGTGAATAAACTGTAAACAACACAAACATCTTTTCAGTTTACGACATGATCTTTTACAGATTTCTGAGCGTTGGTGTTTATTATATCATCAATGTTGTTTAGTGTAAAAGATGTTCAGCAATCACAAACATGATATCACCCAAGTATATACTGAACAAAATGTTAGGGATCGTGAATAATTTGGGGGTTATTTTTATGAAATTTTGTGCTCAGTCTTCACTACAAAGTACGCATAATGTCTTCACGTGTGTCCTACCAAAAACCAACAATCTCTTCACGTGTGTCCCACCAACAACCAAAAATGTCTTCACGTGTGTCCAACCAACAACCAAAAATGTCTTCACGTGTGTCCAACCAACAACCAATAATGTTTTCACGTGTTGTCCCACCACGGACGTCAGACCACCATATTTGGGCCCCGGGGAGACTCATGATACCTCTGCTACCTGCACGGTTGCGTGATTTACACCATCCCTTCAGCTGCTGAAATTTTATGCAAATTGAGCCATCAAATAAAATTCACAAATATTACTACGACAATAATTTTACACTACTTGACCCTCTTCATGGATACAGCCACTAACAATTTCAGTCAATAATTTGTTCTACCAAAATTTCGTACCCTATTTTCTTAAAGGACATATAAATCAAAACTAATAATACAGCTCTGTTTCTTTTAACAATATATAATTAATATAATGAATGCTAACAAAAAAATCTTCCTCATTATTTGATAGTGATTCATAATCACCTGACAAAGTCGGAATTGTACAATCGACTATGCTTTTGGAAGAGATTTCTTCTGGCCATGGAAAGGGTTTTGTCGCTTGTATTTTTAGTAGTCATTGTAGTAGTTATTTTTGTAGAAGTATTTATGTAGTAGTCGTTACACACCCAAACACTCAAAAGGTGTTTAAAATGTTACTCATTTGAATCCCAGTTTGGCTTCAGATGCTGTCTCTCATCACGTGTTCTAACACGCGCATCGAAAATTCCCGATTCTGATTACAACATGCAACTCTGATTGAAGCATGATAATTCACAAACTGATGCCTTTGTCAATATTGCACTATCATAAAAATGTGTTACCGAATCCAACATGATATCACCCTCGATATATACTGAACAAAATGTTAGGGATCGTTAATAATTTGGGGGTTATATTTATGAAATTGTGTGCCCAGTCTTCAATACAAATTAAATTTTCTTTTCAGCATAATGCTTGAAAGAGTTGCCCCACCAACGACCAATAATGTCATCACGTGTGTCCCACCAAAATCCAATAATGTCTTCACGTGTGTCCCGCCAACGACCAATAATGTCTTCACGTGTGTCCCATCACGATGCATAATGTCTTCACGTGTGTCCCACCACCAGCTTATAATGTCTTCACGTGTGTCCCACCAACAACCAATCATGTCTTCACGTGTGTCCCACCAACAACCGATGTCTTCACGTGTGCCCCACCACCAACCAATAATGTCTTCACGTGTCCCAACAACAACTAATAATGTCTTCACATGTGTCCAACCAACAACCAATAATGTCTTCACCTTAGTCCCACCAACAACCAAAAATGTCTTAACGTGTGTCCCACCAACAACCAATAATGTATTCACGTGTGTCCCACCAACAACGTATAATGTCTTCACGTGTGTCCCACCAACAACCGATGTCTTCACGTGTGCCCCGCCACCAATCAATAATGTCTTCACGTGTGTCCCACCAACAACCAATAATGTCTTCACGTGTGCCCCACCACCAATCAATAATGTCTTCACGTGTGTCCTACCAACAAACAATAATGTCTTCACGTGTGTCCCACCAACAACCGATGTCTTCACGTGTGCCCCACCACCAATCAATAATGTCTTCACGTGTGTCCCACCAACAACCAATAATGTCTTCACCTGTGTCCCACCAACAACCAATAATGTCTTCACGTGTGTCCCACCAACAACCAATAATATCTTCACCTGTGTCCCACCAACAACCAAAAATGTCTTCACGTGTGTCCCACCAACAACCAATAATGTCTTCACGTGTGTCCCACCAACAACCAAATATGTCTTCACCTATGCCCCACCAACAACCAATAATGTCATCACGTGTGTCCCAACAACAACTGATAATGACTACACGTGTGTCCCACCAACAACCAATAATGTCTTCACGTGTCCCACCACGACTCAATGGCGTCAGCATCAATAGTGTCAATGTGTCGTGCCAAACATCCTAATATGATGCCATCAGTAAAATGTTCATGTTAAATAAACAATGACATCACTGGTGACCAACCATTACACGCTGATGGAATCGTTAAATGTTTTCATGTTGTAGATGTTCCATCCTCTAACAACAACGTTCTCATCATTGTTGCAAGTGTGTTGGGGGCAGTTGTTCTTGCGGCACTCATAGTGATTGTCGTGTTGATACGTCGAAGAAAGAAAAAACCAACGTAAGTAAGGTACACGTGTGTGTGTTGAAAAAGACTAGGGCTTGCATAGTTACAGAATATTAAATTCAGTTGACTGTAACTGAAGCCGTCAGATGTTTTTACCTCGATTGTTCTTTGTGGGTATCTGTGGGCTAATTGTATAAGCTGTCAATTCGCACACTTTCCCAAGGCAGGGCAACTGACTATAAAAGACCAGTTCCCACCCTTGCCGAACTAGGCTGGTATTATGGAGTTACATTTTGGCTGGACTAACGAGTCTATGCATAGTCCACTCAAAATCGCTTAACGAACTACATGGATTTCAACGTACAGATTTCGGTCGAGTACAGAAATTGCAAAACATGTGTCGACATGTGGATGTCGACAGTTATTTTCCAGAGGTCTTTAATCAAGGTACTCAAGTGATTTGATGTTTTTCGCGGCGTACGATCCGTTTTATTACAATATAGATCGTTGTTACCAATCAGATCGTTTTCACTGGGCGCCGCCATTTTGTTTGAAGCAAATGCAAGTGATGGAATCTGATTGGTCAGTAGGAGGGTCATAGAAGGGACATAACTCGTAATAGCCACTGGTGGCGCTACGATATAGCCTGCAAATTCCAGCCTAGTTCGGCAAGGAAGTGAACTGGACTTTTGTAGTCCTTTAACGCCCCTGCCTCGGGAAGATGCAATTCGCAACGAAAGGGGTTATGCCTTAGTCGAGACAGTATCCGTTGATTATTGATAAGAAATCCTCAAATCGCCTTGTGTTATTCATCCTTGCTCGTTCGTATCACCAAGTTTAAAACGCCGAAGACCTATGTGCCACATTGAGATTTTCTCCCATAACCTGGCACTCGTTATATCACTGAAACAGTTCCATTTATGTTGAGATTTTTTACTCTTCAGTTACAATATACACCAATGCGAAAATGGTATTAGTCAAAGTCCTTATGAGTTGCATAATCGACGATAATTACCAGACAATTTGCTCAACGAAGGTTTGATTAATTACATGTCGACCATTTTACGTTGATTACTAGATAGGGTATACACTAATATTCATATTCTTCCCTCAGGAATACTGGCTCTAATGAAGGGGTGTACGAAGAGGGATATCGATGGGAAAAGGGCGATGAGTACCTTTCACCGCTGACCCAGGAAAATGTCTACCATGAAATACCAGTCCCGGACAATGTACCAGGGAAAACGCCGTACTACTACCACGTTGGGGGAGAGAAATATGTACCTTGTGATCCTGACCAGGAGCCCGACCCGGATGATCTGCCCAAAAGCCAACTCCAAGAACAACCAAAGGATGCTCCTGAAGCGGATCAGGATTCACAGAGAGTGGATGGACGGGCAATGCCATCCTATCTACCAAATACCGCTGAGTTCACACTATTCTTGGAAGAAAGAGTCACTTCTAACCACGACACTATTGATCCTTATTATCAGTGAAGAAACATTCATGATTGAGACTTGTCGTTTAACGGCTAACAAAATGTCTATGAGATAATTTCGCTGTCTAATATTTAACTCACTCACTCACAATTGAGAAAAAGGCGAATCCGGACTCCGCTGGTACAAATAAACAGGCTTCCGGATTGACAATATTTGGGACGTCACTGTATACCCAAAGGAAAGTTAATCCATACATATGGTTCGTTAATCAGGTACATTCACCTGGCACTGTCTAGTCCGGTACGACGGGATGATCATATGTACAATGACTGTGGATTTTGCAGATTAACAGGTGGTTAGCAAGATTTTATCCGTCAAAATAATCCTTTCAGGTTTTCTTACAGTTAATATCAATAAGAAATCAACTCTTATCGTCATATTTTTACCCTGAAAATGTACAGGCAGGCAATTCAAGAAAGAGTGAAAAAAGATGGTTCGAATTCAAAACAACCCTTGCATAGTATTGCCGTAATGCTCAATCTTTTGATAATCTTTTATTCAATGGTTCTATGATTTCTGTTTTCTGAAGTGTTTTTTGAGGACGTCAATATTTTCACGATTAGTTATTAGGGGGATATGGGGTATATCCCAAACATGATTAACCTTTTATCCAACAACCATCTTTGAAACTGCTCCCTCAATCATTTGCAGGTGGAGGAGTTCGCTTACAATGACTATTAAGGGGAGGTATGGATAAAATTGCAACATGTATACTGACCCAAATACTGAATAACAAATAGAAAGTAACAACACAGTACAGTACTCACTAGTTTGACATAATAGGTGTGAGTGATGGGAGTTTCCAGACGGTCCGATGATGCTTGTGAAGAGATTGTTTGAAAGTTTGGACATGCTTACTTTCCAGGATTCAGTCTCTGAAGTCAGTTTATGCCCAAAAGAGTAACCGTCGTATAATCATATTTATTTTATCACTGCGTTTTTAAAGGCCTCTAAATTCCAACGTGTATTAGTATTAACTTGGACCAAGTAGGTTTTCTCAATATTTTATGATTTAACATATCAAAATCAACCTATCTCTGCCTGCTTTCCCATTATGTCTTTATTTGAGAGGGAATGTCCATGAGAGGTATGGCTTTGTCTTTGACCCAATCATGCCGGGTCTGTTTTTTCTAGAGGTTGTTTGGGTTGCAGTTAGGAGACGTATAAATTTTTGAAACTACTAAATATTAGTTATTTGAAAACTGGTTTCAATTATCAGTACATGATAAACACGTACAATCACAATGACGTTTTTGTTTTGAATATTATGCAACTATGTTGGATCGCATTAATTTGCAGTTATTACCTTTTGGTAAAAAAGCTTGGAAACAACCACATTCAGTGACATTGAACACTAACGATGTCGTATTGCATCGAAATCATAGCCAATACATATTTGTATATCTCAAGAATTGGCCTCAGACACTGTATATATTTATGCTCTCTTATAAAGAATGTGTCTGTAGTCTGTCAGCCATCATTTTGGCTCCCGGTTTTTCACAGTTATTTTATAAAAAAGGTGTTTAAAATGTTAGTCATTTGAATCCCAGTTTGGCTTCAGATGCTGTCTCTCATCACGTGTTCTAACACGTGCATCAACAATTCCCGATTCTGATTACAACATGCAACTCTGATTGAAGCATGATAATTCACAAACTGATGTCTTTGTCAATATTGCACAATCATGAAAATGTGTTCCGAATCCAACATGATATCACCCTCGATATATACTGAACAAAATGTTAGGGATCGTGGATAATTTGGGGGTTATTTTTATGAAATTATGTGCTCAGTCTTCACTACAAAGTATATCTTCTTTTCAGCATAATGCTTGAAAAAGTTGCCCCACCGGCGACCAATGATGGGTTCACGTGTGTCCCACCAACAACCAATAATGCCTTCACCTGTGTCCCAATAACAACCAATAATGTCTTCACATGTGTCCCACCAACGACCAATAATGTCTTCACGTGTGTCCCACCAACAACCAATAATGTCTTCACCTGTAGTCCGTCAACCATCATTTTGACACTCGGTTTTTCACAATTATTTTCCACTAAACACACAATCACGCAACGACCGTTGGTTTTTATTGAACAATGATATCTGCCAGTTTTGTAATATTTAATATCCGAATAAAATAATTTCATTGTTTTCATGTTATTTTGTAACCGTTGACATGATCCTGTAGAAGGGGTTGGAACCGACGATTAAACGTCTCACAATGTAATGTGTGTCACATGCTTGCTACATGCATGACCCTTGGTATTCTTAATACTAAATAGTATCCAGCCCGATGGTGAGATTATCAGCGACTGATTTGGGACCACCAATGTCTGAAGAACATTTGATTCCCAAGGCTTATTACCCTGTAGTCATGACATGTATATGTCTCCAAAACTTTATTGCCATTATTTATAAAACGCTTATCCCCGTTGTAAATCCTCACCAACGTTTCATTGCATATTGACTGTCAGCTAACCTTGGCAACTATATCACTTCCCGGTAGTTATATTTATTACCATAATTGATCATCCCCTAAGCTGTGTCGGTTCATCACCATCATCAGGTGTCATATACTCCTTCACCTGATGAAGGAGTAAGCAAATACTCCGAAACGTTGTGTTCCTCATAATAAAGAAGTTGACATCCATATATTCTCTTCCTTATTTGAATCACTTCTAAATGCCTTTCAAAGACCTGAGCGGTGTCATATTTCACCGCCAAGCTCACGTGATATTGTTCACTTCTGCTTTGGTCAGTGTCATTTTTAGGCAACGAAGAGATGATTTTGAGTCAGAGTGTCAGCTATATGTTGGCTTGTTATTGTTATTTTTCACGACTGACGAAATTATCAACTTTATTCCAAGTACTCAAGCACATGGTTAAAATTGTTCATCAAAATGTTACTGATTTAAAATTCACGAGATTTTGAACAGTAAACACAATTGTTTTGGGGTGGAAGTGGAAATACTACTGGTTTTCTGACGGTATAGAAGTTTGGGTGAGAAGTTTCATAGTGAGTGGTGGAGTGTGGTGAAGTGTATTTGTAATTTGACCAATAGGTGACATAGGTGACATCCTTATCAGTTGCAAGCAAGTCAAATCACAAAACAAGTATGCTTAAATTAGTTGCATTTCCAAATGCGCGACAAGTATATTTTATGTATAGTTACATAACTGCAAATACTTCCAAAATGCCTCTTTTCTGTGACGCTTTCGTGTGGATTATCAGTAGAATGCAGAAAGGTCTAGGAATACCAAACATACTTCGTGGGTGAAGGCCGACGACAAGGTAGATATAATGCTGAGGCCAGTAAAGATCATCTGATCCTGTACCACTGCTGTAGGTGTCAGTAATGGAGATGGATGTCGGTGTCCTTCTCGCCGTTCTGGTTCTAGTTTCTTCTGCAGGTTGGTGTGATATAGTCCTTTAGTCTCTTTAGTTCATGAACAGTTATACACATTTTCTGCAGAATGTTCACACATTTAAGTTATAACTCTATAAAATGAGATTAATGAATATAAAAATAGGGGCCAACTCAACAGCATCTTACAATGTATGTCTTCTAAACATTGTTGAAAACTAGATTATTATTCATGCATTCACGGGAAACTTTGCACAAAATGATGATAGTGACTGTTTTGTATTATTAGTTAAACAGGTCATTTGTACAAGTACCATGTGTCATTACAATACTTTACAGTCCACGTACACAGAAAAGTTTGTTATCTACAGTTGCACATGACCTAGATTTGATTTTCATTTATCTGCCATAAAGGTAAAGAGAGCGTTTTCATAAAATTTTAAACACCCTGATTAAACCCACGAGCACGGTATGGTGCTGACAAACCTAGAAACATAACCGGAATTCGACCCAAGCCTTAGATTTATGTGAAACTGATCTCGTTAGGCTAGTGTCCTCGCTAAATTGTTTCGCAATTAACTTTTGACAATGATAACAACTACTTGTGTAGTCTAAAGATTCCCGATGGTTCCTTCTGACTGATCGCCGATTGACAAGTTAGCCGCCATGTGTCCACGCTCTGAGAGTGAGAAGTCCCGGTGGGCGAGTGGATTAGATCGCTTAATTGAGAACGTGTAATCCTAATTTAAATATCTGTTATATACATGTCTACACCACAACTCCTTATTGCATCGTTCATGCAAGCACATTTCATAACTGAAATCAATTTTATTGCAATTCAACGGTAAACACCCAGGGTGATAGCTTTACCGTCACCGTCATCACCGACGGTAGTTTGAGCATCTCCGTCCAAGGAAATGTCTGGCTCAAAAGTGCTCCGACTTTCGTCAGAGCCAACGGGCAGATTTACAGCACCGCAGATGGCTCCTTGAAGCTTCTACAGACCACTGGAACATCTGGTACCGACTTCATCGGGAAATGGCAGTCCACTAGCTTCCTCTACCAAGCCGACACGTGTCGCTTCTTAGCCAGCATTTACTTCTACACGCCAGACCCTAGTATCTTCTCATATAACAATCCTCCTGAACAATTTCTGCTCTTCAAACAGGTTTGACTTTCTTGTTGGTGTTTGATATTTTGGCAAAGGCAAATTGCTTTGAGTAGTCGACATGCATGTTGATCCAAAATTAACTACTTAAAAGAAAAGCGTTAAAAGTTTTGTGTTTGTTGGAGCTTCCATCTTGTGTAATCTTTATGACTAGAACACTTTGAAAAACATTACATATATTTACTATTGTGCTACGTTCACTTATAATTACTAATTCGAGATGTATAATTGTGCATATAATGCGGCAATGCAGCACCATGCTTCGTTCATAATAGCAATAAAGTCCTGAAAACCATTATGTTCTCGAAAGGAATATTATATTAATATATAGTACAAAAACTGCATTAAAGGGATTATAGGTCCTGCCCATTAATCTCATGTAGAGGTGTTTTCTTTGTGTTTTAATTCATAGACGTACTTAACCCAAACGAATGTCACAAAAGCACGAAGAATGAGTGAAACCATAGCTGGCTTCCCTGGGTTTGTTGTGAAGGAGGCGTCGGTCCGGCTTGGCTACTTGTCCTACGGTGGTGGTCAGTTTGGATATGGCAAGAAAGCATTTGGAGAGTAAGTAGAGTTGTGTAGTGTGAATGAATGAGGAGGTTGGGTTTAGTGCCATAGTTTACGAAGTTTACAGACATGTATCGTCATTATATCGTAACTATATTATCTTCATTTCTTTGCAGATTTGGTCCAAAACTTAACATTTCCTCGGGCATGGAAAGTGGTCCCCTTTCTATATTTGACCGTGTCAAGACAGCCAACACTTTCATCCTGTCTCCTGCAAGTTCCTTCATGTCCGCCAATCTCTGGCGCCAGAAAACTAAAAACGGAAGCAACCTCTACTGGGGAACAATGGGTGGCGTTACAGATGTCCCTGCCAACTTTGAAACCAGCACCATCCTCTTCTTCAGCAACCAAGGTATCAACAAGGTGCGTTATTTGTGATTGATACAATTAATAATAAATTGATAATTAATTTGACTTCTGTCTACGATAAGGAAATAACTGAATGTATTTAAAGCCGTAAAAAAACAAGCAGTAGTTTTATGAAGCTGTCCAACAAATGGTAAACAGTCATCAAATAGTATATTTATAATGCAAAAAATATATTTTCATTACTCCAGACATAATACTGTCTAATATTATATCGATTGAAGCTGTCTAATTTTTTTTCATTTCAAACATATGCATATATTTTCTTATCAGTTATAGACAGCATTACCCTTTTGGCGAACATCTAGTGTCATCACTGACTATTTCAGTGATCCATTCATATAATTTTCACCTCTATTTTGCCTTTAACGTCCAATGAAATCTGTTTCGTCACATAATCAAGACTGGTTAGCATCTAGAGTTGGCACTTTGTACTTATAGTATTAAGTAAAATGTATTATTTAAAATGTATGCATTCTAATCTCAGGGATTCGTCAGCTGGGGGCAGATTCTACAGAAACTGCACGGAAGAGACAACAGTTTTGTGAAGTCAGATTTTACCAACAACTATCTGGGGTACTGGACAGACAACGGCAGGGAAACCACACGAACTTGCACTCCTTCTCTTCTCTATAATGTGTTTGGTACTGTCACCCTGTGTTGATTCCAAGTTAGAATTAGTGCCCAGCAGACTATGCTAGTCGTAAGAGGCGAATTAATGGTTCTTGTGGTCAGGTTCGGAGATTTGGTGTCATCGTACCCCGATCACTGCACATAATAACAATCACAGGAATATCCAGAGTGCAGGTTTAAACCAAGAAACAGCACACTCACATACGATCTCCTGCATGCCAATTTTCTTGTTTACAAAAGTATAAGAAACTGTAATATGTTCAATATACATTTCCGACATTTATTGACAATGAGATATAATATGTCAGTATTCAAGCAGGATGTACAAGGATCAAATGATCATTGGTTCAAATCACTGATTCATCTTATTAAGACTTCAACAATCACCTGATAGACCTCAAATGTCATTCAAACGACGACGTTAAACCACTTCAAGTCGTGTATCTAGTCATGATACCTATCGTGTTGAAAATTCTGTTTTGCAGGTGCCTATTACTATTACCACACAGAACCTAAGAAAGATTACCAAGACATCATACTGGACATTGTTACCTCCATCAAGGACACAGGTATTCCCTTCAGGTAGGTGGTCCCATACAATTTCAATACCAATAGTTTGATTTCAATATTTGGATTTGCTGAAGAAACTACAGCTATTTTTCATATTTGTTACTTAATATTTGGTTATGTTAACGTTTGTGCGACCTCTAACTTGAGAACTTCTAATTGGATTCTTTTCAAATGTAAGGAACACTTTCTATATTGATAGGAGAGGTGCAGTGCAAAGTTTCACTGTGATATGTGTATTTTCTGAAAACATATGATTTCTTCATGCGGGACTCGAGGTCAGGGTATGACTTAGCCCTGCTCACTGTTTGCCTTGTTAATAGTATTAGCTCATAGCATTACATTTGTGGGGTAATGTCAATATTTGGGAATATTCTGCATGATGCTTCTCAAATCCAGCTCAGAACGAATCTGTGGTATCGATTAAAAAACAACAGCCAGGTAAGACGTAAGCCTATTCTATGTGTTCTGAAACACCTTTGGCATAGCTTTCAGTTACAGGGCGCACATTGGAACATCGGTAATATCTTCTCTATCCACTGCAGACTCCTTGTTTCATGAGCCATGCTCTTGCCCATGTTTCAATTCGTTGTGCACAATTTGGTCTCTTAATGATGTAATTTAAAAAGATGGTTATTTTCTGCATGATGCTATAACAATCGGGCTGAGAACGAATCTGTAGTAGCGAAATGCAAAGAACAGGTACACTGTCACCCGTCACCTAACAATCATATACTTCAAGCTATATGATACTAATTGTTTGCAGACAAGACGTTAACCTCTTTCGGTGTTCTCAAGCATGCACGACCTTGGCATACTTAAAGTCAGTACATGCAAACATCTTCAATATCTGCATCTTCTTTATCCACAGGAGGCTCCGTGCCTCAAGTGTCACAATTTGTTGTGCAGGTTTGCGTCTTTGAACAGTGATCTGATGATCGTGGGTTTTATTCCCATATTCGATAATGGTCCTTTGTACGTCAGCAACATACCCGTGGTCTAACGAAGCTTCCTTTAAGGACCTGACACGCCGTACCGTAACCGAAATACTGTTCAAAGTACTCTTTTGCTTTAGATACCTGCAGTTCGACTCCTGGTGGTACTACAAAGGTGTAGGGAACGGCGTGAAGACATGGGAGAGCACCCCTCAAGTTTTCCCAAATGGCATACAGTAAGCGATTGGATTTTCATTTCTGATCACAGTCAAACAAAACTTTAAATCGTTTGTGAACTGATCTGAGAAGCAAAGGATATATCTCCCAGCTCACTTTATTTCATATAACTGTATTTGTTTTATATCATTTCCAGGTGGCTGTACAATAAAACAGGATTTCCAATTTCAGCCCATAACAGATACTGGTAAGTATTTCATGTGGAGCCTTACGATTACTAAACGAAGAAATTATTCCTATATGTTTTACAATGCTAAATGTTATATGGCTTGTTCTACAGTATCAACTCTGTGTAATTGCAGGGCAAGCGACACAACATATGCCAAACAGAATGGTGGTCAATATTATTTCATTGTTGAAGGTACAAAAGCTCTTCCGCTTGACCAGGTAATTAGAATACCATACATATTCATATTGTTCCCTTTCACTTTGTCGCGAACTCGTGTGAGTGGATTAACAATGTTTTGTTCCCTCAAAATAAAAACACGTAAATGAATTTTTACTTACATCCTGAATGAGTTTGGAATTAGCCTTCTTCTAACAGAAACAACAGTTTTGATTGATGATTTTTTTAGAAAAAAAGTCCCGTTATCATAATATTAATAACAAATCATGTTTGATGTATTTAACACCAGTATCCCATTCAAGAGCACCCATATCAATCAATTCATCAAGCGTGAAAATATAAAATAAAAAAATGACCATATTGTTTAACACAGTTTCAGTGGCAGTGTAAAGAACTTCTTACATTTAACTTTTGTCTCTTTTTGTGACTAATAAAATCACGACATTTTTATAAAATGTAAACTATCTATGTTAATTATTAAGACAGCTACATGTATGTGAAGTCAATGTCTTGCATCGCTTAATGAGGGGTACAAAAGACTGATGGTATTCGTTACATATTTCTTACATTTTGCACTCCTGTTTTCAGATATTCTGGGACGACCTTCTCTCCAATGGTCGAAAATGGGGTTTAGTGACATATGAACGGGTAGACACAATATGAGACATTTACCACATATACGCAAAGGGTATCAGCCTGTGAATGATCCAACCTTTCCCAAAAAGAAATGTATATCGAATACATTTGACCAATTTGTGACCCGCCTCCGTGGTCTAGTGGATAAGAGCGTCTGTCCGGAGACTGGAAGGTCCATGGTTCGATCCCCGACCGACTTCATACATAAAAGCGTTAAGAGATAGCACTTGTTGCAACGCTGCCTGACTCTCGGCATTCAGAGAGAAAGTTAAACCTCATTTTACCTTACCTCATGGAATGCCACACGTCATGTCTTTCATAACTTCAGGACTGGCTACAAGGGGAGTTTGGCGGAGTTCCTTCGCTCACTGAAGATGTGTACCTGGCAGAGACGTGGCTCAACCAGATGGGACGTGGAGCTGCCAAGAATGGTCTGACCATCCAGTACTGTATGGCCAACTGTCGACACGCACTTCACGCGATTTCCATCCCTGCAGTAACACAGGTTGTATTATTGAAAATGTTGATACCACAGTTGTCATCGAAATGTGCATTTGAGAATATTTATGTTTTGATAGGTTAACTGGGTGTCGAATTTGAAACATGATGTGATTTGTTTGCCAGGTAAGAGCTTGCGCAGACTACCACCCTGGGCGTCAACAATGGCGTATCGGCGTGACGTCCATGCTGGCCTGGGCTATCGGCATTGCTCCTTCCAAGGATAACTTCTGGACCACAACTGTTCAACCGCGAGGTCATAATACAGGTTAATGATTTACACATGTGAACATACCACATGAACTTCTTATTACTCTAGGGGCGGTCGGGTAGCCTATTGGTTAAAGCGTTCGCTCGTCACGCCAAAGACCCAGGTTGGATTCTCGACATGGGTACAATGTGTGAAGCCCATTTCTGGTGTCCCCCACCATGATATTGCTGGAATATTGCTAAAAGCGGCGTAAAGACCATACTCACTCACTCTAATTCCTCTAATCCCGAAGGGTTTCCTGGTTAAAATTGGTCCACAGCAACCTATGCTTGTCGTGAGAGGCGACTCTGTTGCTGGTGCTGTGTACAAATGATCAACCCGAGCCACCATGTCATTTGTCATCCGTAGATTATCAGTTGTTGCATTGTGGATAAGTGTGTGTGTGTGTGTGTGTGTGTGTGTGTGTGTGTGTGTGTGTGTGTGTGTGTGTGTGTGTGTGTGTGTGTGTGTGTGTGTGTGTGTGTGTGTTTACGCGTGTGTGTTTTTTGTTATCATCAATGTTCTCCAGAATATGTCTTCTAGTATCTGACACATATACCGACAGAACAGAACCGTACCCGGAATTGAATGCTTTGGTGGCCACCCTCAGCACAGGGCCTGTCGGACCAAGTGACATGATCGGCAAATTCAACAAGACAATCATTATGAAGTATGTAGGCAGACTTGAATTCTAACTGTGCATTCGAAAATATATGCTTACTTGAAACGACTGCTTGACCTCCCAGTGCTATCTGTTCTTTGAATTCATATCAAACATCAAGACAATTTAATTCACTCAATACACACATTATTTGATTAATAGAAACAAATCATATTTCTTACTATTTAATGCAGCTTTCGGACAGTTATTGTCAACTTTTGGGAGTGCTATCTAAAGGTGTTATGATACACTCAAAGCCAAAGGTTGTTGTGACATGCATGAAAAGAGAAGTGGTCTAGACATTTTGATGCCATGGATGGAAAGAACAAAAGAGGCATGAGACCTCCGGCAATTGAGGAAATGCCTAGGGAGGGGCATTCCATATCTGAAGGAAGGGTCGCAAACGTCCTTCCATTTCATCCCGGACATGTTGACAAATCACTTTCATATCCAGGTCACACCAAATTTTGTGTTTGAGAATAAAATTATATATAAATTATCAATAAACATTTCTGCTTAAAGATGCAAACAACTGTTCATATATCATAACTAGATATATAACTAAATTGATATGTGGTTGACATGTTCTACCTGTCTCATAGTTTATAACTGACATCACCGAAAACACTGATTTTTAGGAGCGTGAATTCAGAGGGACTGATCCTGAAGCCATCGAGACCCGCCACAGCTATTGACAACATGATCAGGAGGGTAAACACTCGTTCGTGGACATACGTCCTTACAACAACTGATCGTATCCAGAGGCGTTCATGCAACAGACCCCACTGTCATTACATACCTAAAGGCTATGTGTAGTAGATGATCATTGTAATTTTGCTACAAATTTGTAAGCCACAAAAAACACGTTCTTCCATGGTTCGTCCACTTTTGATGGTCTTTATTTTCTGTAGAAATGCGATCTTTATACCTACAGTGTAAACTTAAAAACCCAAAGACATATAAACAAACCCTATCTCAATTCTTGATGCACACCACCACTGTGATGTCGCAATATTGTGTGTCCACAAGTACAGCAACAATTTGTTCCACATTGTAACGAGTTCAAGGAGCTGAAATGTCCTAATATATTTTTTTTTCATATGATTTTTTGGAGATAAAATATTGTATTTATTTCACAGTTTATTGTTTTAGTAGGGAAGTTTGTTGTCTAATGCAGGATCACGTGTAACAGTCTACTAACTGATCTTCAAAGAAAATATTTTGACAAAAATACAATATATACTGAACCGCAAAAGAAACGTCTCCCCAATAACATTGCATGAAAAAATGTCATTTAAATATCTGGGTAATTTTGGTCAAAGTTTCTGAAATTTAACATTACCTTGTCCGGAAAAATTAAATTTGATGACAAAAAAACAAAGCAGATGACAACAAAACTGATCACCCAAAGGCATCACGCCAACGCGCATGGTAGCCCGATGAACGTGATGTTCCGTGCAAAGTGAAATGCACAATGTCATGCGTTCCCCCATCTCTTGCCCTATAAAAATCCAGCAAGATCATTCGTTATTGAATTGCTACCACATGCCAAGATTGACAAGAAATCAGCGACACCAGGTCCTTCGACGATTGCAAGCTGGACAAACCGCCCGGCAAGTAGCCAATGCATTTCAAATCCATAAACAGGACCATAAACAGGCTCCAGCAACGGTACCAGTCCACCAACACAACAGATGACCGACCACGTAGTGGAAGACCAAGGGACGTAGGGGTTGTCAGATTGTGCGACAGCATCTTCAAGATCGCTTTGTTACTGCTGCGGAAACTGCTCAACAGACCATGGGGACACACCAGCGACACATTAGTGTGGACACCGTGCGTCGACGATTGACGAACAGACACCTCCACTGTCACAGGCCACACCGATGACCCATTCTGACACCACGTCATCGCCAGGACCGTCTTCAGTGGGTAACACCGCCACTAGCAGTTGAGAAGAGTCCTCTTCTCATTCCCGATTTAAATCCCATTGAGCACCTGTGGGACAAGATTCAAAGACGGCTGAATGACGTCCGACCAAGGCTGACAACTGCAGCTGAATTGCATCAGGCGTTCCTCAGAGTGTGGGATCAAGTGCCTATGGCCTTCATTAACCGCCTCATCCATTCCATGTATCAACGTTGCGCGGCAGTCATCAATGCATATGGCGGACACACGAGATACTGACTTGTAAAGCCTTCTTCTTAGAGACTACTGTTGTGTTTCACTTTAAGAACATTTGACACTTTACTTTCAACCTTGATGATAAGTTTTGCCAAGTTTCTTCTTTTTAAAATTTCTCAAAGTATGTTTACAGTGTTTGGACAAATAAGGTTTCTTATATATCTATCCATGGTGACGTTTCTTTGCGGTTCAGTATATATGGTATGGCACCTTCGATTCGATATATTATATAGGAGGGCAAATCACATTTTTCTGTCATTTTGTGGATAAAATTATGAAAATTCAAATGGACAGTCCCTACCACTTTACCCATCGTAATTGTTTTCAGCTAGCATGGAATGATTTTGAAGGCCCAGATGGGGAAGTATGGTCGACGTATTCTGACTTTGGTGGAAAAACAAATATGGCATAGTGCTTGCTGCGGACCTTCAAGGGAACTACAACATGACGCCATTCATTGCTGGGTTCCAAGGGGTAAGAGTGGGAGAAACAGTTTTCACACATCACTCAGCTCAAGACAGAATTAATCATAGGGATATGTATGTAATCGTTCCTGGACGAGGGAGAAGGGGTTGAAAGTATGAGCTAAGGCCATCAGAGTGTGACTCTTTCTTTATTCTGGTCGGTTCTTACAAGCATGAAGAGCAGGACAAACATTCAGAACGGGAATCCGAAATATTAAGTGAATCAAACTCACTGTAAAGATTTAGTAATTGTTTAGCATTGTATGTTCGCCCATCTCTTCCTATTTGGGCAGTCAAGTATTGGTAACATTGAACAACTGTATGCTTCCAGTTCCCCAAGTCTATGGTGTTTCCTGCTAAAGACCCCAACAAGGTCCAACTGCTGACAGACCCCCAGCCTCTCCAGATGAGTGGCTGTACCATGGTGGACTTCTGTCTGTACTATGTCTCGCCCGTTGTAACATTTCAAGGGTGAGGATCCAAAGGCAAACTTTTCCCTCAGTCTAAGACTTTGAAACAGGTGATGTTCTATGTTGGGACGTCAGCTCATAGTAAGCTGCCACAGCATGATGAGGTTTACTGGCATACATGCTTTTGAAAAGGTTCAGACTTCGACAAAGGCACAAGTGCAGTGGTGTCATAAGGCGCCGCAGTCGTGAGTCGTGTCCCCTAGCAATGCATGGATCCGCAAGTCAAGAGAATAAATTTTGTTATGACTTTTGATTTGTCAGCGCAATTCCCGTGCATTTCACCATGGCGTTTTGGACTTTCTCCCCACAGGAAGCTGACACGCTCTCACACATTCACCTCAGTTCACGAATTTCTGTTTTGCAGGCATCAGGTCCTGATTCAAGGGGAACTTGAGAAGTGGGTGCCGATGTCACCACAAAGAGTTGCTGACATTACCGTTGACAGCAGCGACATCAAACTCCGTATTGCAGGAGGGGCTAATGAAACTGTCAACTTCTGGTTCAACACCGACGGAGTGGCAAAAGGTCTCACGTGTGACATCAGTGACTCTGGATTTGCTTTTATTAGTTACAAAGCGTGGAGCTGTACATCAAGATAGAAAACAACGAACCGCCTCTGTGTATGTTGTAACTTGTAAAGCCAATACCGTCATGCCAATAAATGATTGATGTATAAAATCTGTTGGTATATGGAGATGTGTCACTTGAAAACGCATCGAACAAAACATAGTTTGGTATCAATGTGAACACAACGAGAGGGAGTGGTTAACGAAATGTCAGGTTCAGATCTGAAGGAGCCTGTTGGTTCGCTTCAGGTAGTAAATTATATTGTTTGTTTTCTGTTAAATGCGAACTTAGTAATATTCCAACCAGACAGTCCAGTGAGTGATATTGTGAAGAACGATCCACGCCTTAGAGGTGCGGTGTCATCAACATCGGGTCACTGGACCTGACCGCCTAGTCCACCTGGCCTCCTTTAACAGAAGTAGCGTGAAAATCGCCACCCCTTACTTCACACACAATGTCCTTTCCTCAAGTGCATATTTTGACTGGCCAGCTAGTTGTGTGGTGGTATTCGAAATGGATAAAAACGACACTTAGGCATGGTTTGGGTCCATCTTCTTAACCTCAATGTAGACACAATTTTGACTTGCTTGACAACGGTATAAGGATCTATACCGAAACGTCGCTTTCACAGTATTAAAGAAGTTGTTATCCATAAAATTGTGTCTACCTTGTCATCCGTCCACTTCTAAGTATTGCCTATCAAACAATTTTTCTTTACATCAATGGAATAGAGATAAAATTCTAGTACCTTTGGTAAAAGAGGATGTAGTGTCTTATGACTGCTTACTTCCACGCTGAGAGGTGATGTACTCTACTTTCCTTAAACCAGCCATATCGATACTGATCATGATACGTACCCCAAGATCATTTTTATTTGTTTGATGAGTAGATAATTTAAACTCAACTCCTTCAACTGATCATACAGTAAGACAATTAAGCTACTCCATAGTTTACATAGTTAATCTCATGCCTATTGAATCTGTGCTGAGAGTAAGGTAATTTAGGTTAATTAAACGAAATTGTAACATATATACTCCCTAAACTGTGAGTCCCCTATCCCTACTCAGTACTTTAATCTAAATAGGACTGATCCATTGCACCTGTAGGTATATTCCCTCTTTGCCTACATAAACATGTCTAACAATTGGGACATCTAACTAATGGGATATAACCACTGAAACAAATGGCTGTGTCTCGTTCTGTGTGTGCGATTTCACGGTGTATCAATAACCCACAATTTGACCATGCAGGGATCGGCTGGTGATGTGTTTTATTCAAGTCCAAACGTTGCCCGCATAGTAATCATGGGTTTCTCAGACCCAGACTCATGGTTTTCACCAAATGTCAACACCAGCTTCAACAGGCGAAATATTGTTCAAAGGGGCGCTGAACGCAACTCACTCGTTAGTATCGGTATATGCCACAGCACTCAAAACCGCTGACACATTCATTTCAAGTATACACCTAGATGGTTAGTGCACATCGTCATGGGAAATGGGTTACTATATCTGATGGACTGTGTGCCAGTAGGTGAATGCTGGAACTACCGTGGCCTTCGCTCCTCCTGTCCATACTGTGCACATCGTCATGGGAAATAGGTTACTATATCTGATGGACTGTGTGCCAGTAGGTGAATGCTGGAACTACTGTGGCCTTCGCTCCTCCTGTCCATACTGTGCACATCGTCATGGGAAATAGGTTACTATATCTGATGGACTGTGTGCCAATAGGTGAATGCTGGAACTACCTTGGCCTTCGCTCCTCCTGTCCATACTGTGCACATCGTCATGGGAAATGGGTTACTATGTCTTTACAGATATATCTTTATAATACGTTATAATACGTTTGTAATTTTTGGTCAAATCCAATTTCTAAGTGTACACTTTCTTTTGACTGGCATCCTATGAGGTGTTTGTGTCAGATGCAGTGTTTACGGGAATTTACGAGCTGAATGGAGTCAACGAGACCAATGGTCGAGAGATATACAAAAACATTCAGAGGGACCAGAGGTGTACAAGAACGTTCAGAGGGACCAAAGGTGTACAAGAACGTTCAGAGAGACCAGAGGTGTACAAGAACGTTCAGAGAGACCAGAGGTGTACAAGAACGTTCAGAGGGACCAGAGGTGTACAAGAACGTTCAGAGGGACCAGAGGTGTACAAGAACGTTCAGAGAGACCAGAGGTGTACAAGAACGTTCAGAGAGACCAGAGGTGTACAAGAACGTTCAGAGGGACCAGAGGTGTACAAGAACGTTCAGAGAGACCAGAGGTGTACAAGAACGTTCAGAGAGACCAGAGGTGTACAAGAACGTTCAGAGAGACCAGAGGTGTACAAGAACGTTCAGAGAGACCAGAGGTGTACAAGAACGTTCAGAGGGACCAGAGGTGTACAAGAACGTTCAGAGAGACCAGAGGTGTACAAGAACGTTCAGAGAGACCAGAGGTGTACAAGAACGTTCAGTGAGTCCAGAGGTGTACAAGAACGTTCAGAGAGACCAGAGGTGTACAAGAACGTTCAGAGAGACCAGAGGTGTACAAGAACGTTCAGAGGGACCAGAGGTGTACAAGAACGTTCAGAGGGACCAGAGGTGTACAAGAACGTTCAGAGGGACCAGAGGTGTACAAGAACGTTCAGAGGGACCAGAGGTGTACAAGAACGTTCAGAGAGACCAGAGGTGTACAAGAACGTTCAGAGAGACCAGAGGTGTACAAGAACGTTCAGAGAGACCAGAGGTGTACAAGAACGTTCAGAGGGACCAGAGGTGTACAAGGACGTTCAGAGAGACCAGAGGTGTACAAGAACGTTCAGAGAGACCAGAGGTGTACAAGAACGTTCAGAGAGTCCAGAGGTGTACAAGAACGTTCAGAGAGACCAGAGGTGTACAAGAACGTTCAGAGAGACCAGAGGTGTACAAGAACGTTCAGAGGGACCAGAGGTGTACAAGAACGTTCAGAGGGACCAGAGGTGTACAAGAACGTTCAGAGAGACCAGAGGTGTACAAGAACGTTCAGAGAGACCAGAGGTGTACAAGAACGTTCAGAGGGACCAGAGGTGTACAAGAACGTTCAGAGGGACCAGAGGTGTACAAGAACGTTCAGAGGGACCAGAGGTGTACAAGAACGTTCAGAGGGACCAGAGGTGTACAAGAACGTTCAGAGAGACCAGAGGTGTACAAGAACGTTCAGAGAGACCAGAGGTGTACAAGAACGTTCAGAGAGACCAGAGGTGTACAAGAACGTTCAGAGGGACCAGAGGTGTACAAGGACGTTCAGAGAGACCAGAGGTGTACAAGAACGTTCAGAGAGACCAGAGGTGTACAAGAACGTTCAGAGAGTCCAGAGGTGTACAAGAACGTTCAGAGAGACCAGAGGTGTACAAGAACGTTCAGAGAGACCAGAGGTGTACAAGAACGTTCAGAGGGACCAGAGGTGTACAAGAACGTTCAGAGGGACCAGAGGTGTACAAGAACGTTCAGAGAGACCAGAGGTGTACAAGAACGTTCAGAGAGACCAGAGGTGTACAAGAACGTTCAGAGAGACCAGAGGTGTACAAGAACGTTCAGAGAGACCAGAGGTGTACAAGAACGTTCAGAGAGACCAGAGGTGTACAAGAACGTTCAGAGGGACCAGAGGTGTACAAGAACGTTCAGAGAGTCCAGAGGTGTACAAGAACGTTCAAGTGGGTCAAGTGGTGTACGTTCACCTCGCATTTTCGTGTACATTCCAAAAGTACATTCCAAATGTAAATCATTGACGATTCTTTTAAAGACATATATAGTTTTGTGTTTCATTTGAATCTAGCCATCATACTTTCAGTATGATAACTCAATGACGTACCTGGGTCAATATGACGTCACAAGCAAGTGAGGTCATAACAAAAATGATAACGTCATGATATCCATACATGTCGGACATCCGATTTGTATGTTCCTCACAAGACAGTGACTGTCAATCAGACAGCCGAGTTCCCTTTTACACTCTTGTGAAAATTGTGTAAGTGGCGGGTGCTACCGGGAGAGCAGGACATCTGGTGTCATCACTGATTCTCTGTTACCACTATCATGCCTTTTATGCCCAATGGAATCTGTTTCGGCAGATAATCGAGACTTGTTATTCTCTGGCGTTGACGTCTTATTAAACAGGTAAATGCTAAACATATATCACTACCAGTTTTCAATTATAGTCTGTAATGAAATTAAGTTACTTCATATCAGAAACAATTTGGTTTCACATGTCATATAGATTGGCTGCCAATCGATCACCAATAGAAAATGTAAAACATATCGATAAACATTCTGGGTCTCTAATACACGTCGGGAAATTCACGGACGGCCTGGCGTCTAATAGAGAAAATACGGTAGTTCAATATCGGATGTTTTTGGCGTCGATATGATGTTCTAGGCCGTAATCCTGACTGCTTCGATGACGAGATTACAGAACTTTACGAAGGCATATCTTTTGCTTACAAATGAAATGTTTATGAAACTGATCGGGACAAGTTCAATGTTTTTTGAAGACACGTTATCCATGACAACATATTGTTTACAACCCTTTTTGTGATCGATATTTATTGCCATCTACGTCAACCACCACCGTAAGGATTTGGTAGGAGGCCATTTTGAATGTCCACTAGAAAACACTCCTCCCTCGAAAGGCCACGAAAACAATGTCCCGACATCACTGATCAAAATTCATCAAAACTTGATGAAACTTCCTGCAGTTCATTTCAGAACACGCACAATTACGAAAACCATACACGAACATCTGTTTCTGTACCACCGCTGTCTCACTGCTTTCACCAGCTGGCTTTGAATCCGTGAAATCTTGAAATGTATTCTTCGTGGCAAAAGATCCGCCTCGTCTGCAGCCTAAACAGCGTATGTTCAGTCATACTGCAGTTCCTTTGGTAATCACATTGTACCAGCAGACTCCTTCCCAGTACATCTACAGGTTATTGATGAACCACACAGCTGACCTTTGTACCCTATGCCGTTACGCGTTTCAAGACAGCACCGTTTTCAAAGCGCTGTTGTCGTCATGGTAAAATGGAGATAAACCTACTGTGTTACTGCTAAATCAGC